CAATATGCAGCTGGCCAATCACAGCGCAGTATAGGACTCACTCTCACTGAGGTCCGACACTTCCATGGCTGCGCTCTATTGACTCGAATGCTTTTTTTTGCTTGTTTTTTTTCAAAATATGGTCAAACGCTGTTCCTGGGGCACTTGTAATAACTATAATCACTACCCAGAGAGGTTGAAAGGAGAAGTACGATTTATTCCCTTTCCAAAACTTAAAACAAATTCAGGGAAACGTAGGCTCTGAATTGTTCCTAATGTAATGTTAGTTAGCCAACGCTAACTACTGAATGCAACGTTATAAAGCCGTTCTGTTTTGCTTTTTAATGATTGTACAGTGAATAGAGACCTGCCCTGCTGTACAGGAGCAGTGTTAATCCTTAATATTGTTGTCCTTTGTCTCAATCGTCAGGTGATGCTCTATGTTACATTTTGTCTTTGTTAGGTAAGGCTGTAGCTTCTATCATTATTTGTTTCACATCAGTTTGACAGCCTGAATACAACCTTCAAATGCACAGTGCAACTGCAAAACTGTGTGCTTCTTTCTGAGATCATTTTTTCCTAAAAATTAGACAATATTTCTCCAGGAAGTGCAGTAATAGACAGTGGCAGCGCCATGCTAAGGTTGTGTTCAAAACAAGCTAAACTGCTGTCTCAGAAGGTGTCTAACAGGACAGCGAGGCATCGAGTGCTGTTCGAAACGGCTCGAACAATCTCTTCCTGTCTCCTAAGATGCCTTCAAACTGCCCCCGTGATGGCCGTTTCTGAAGGCAGCATTGATGCTTACTTGATTTTGCTTATTACCCATAAACCAGTGCGGCAGCTTGTGAAAAATTGAGATGGCGGACAAGCCGAATTTGTGTATAAATATACGTTTTTTTGAAAGTTTTTTTTGTAGTTTTCTCAATCCGATTATTGAAAAGTTAGCGAGAACTAAAGACTGAACTATCATTTTAGCCTGGTACTGTAACCAGCCAAGTTTGTTCAGTATGATTTCTGAGGCGTAGTTAGCCATTTGGCTTTTCAATAGCTAGTTAGCTGATGCTAAGGCTAGCGTAAGACAGCGTTCTGATGTTACGCGTTGCAGTAAGTGCTTCCCTAGAAGGCAGTTTCAAACCAATGTAAACAGAGATACCTTCACTTCCATTTCGAACACATCCATTGGTTTTGAACAGCCTCCAAGGCAGCACTTGTGGCATGGCATTGCTGCTGGTGTGGATAACAACCAAGCTCCATACGACTGAAGGCACAGAGAAAAAGACACGTTATAGGCGTCCACAAGAAGACAAAAGTAGTTCACAAAAAACATAACGTACCAGTGTTCGGTTTGGACACATATGAGGGGAAAAACAATCTGGTGCGGACTGCCTGAAGTCCAGGAGTATTTCTGCTGGAGCCTGATAAGCCATGCCTAAGCACCAGTGTTGGCTAACAATTACATAAAATATGAAATGATGTGTGTGTGACTAAACTTAAGTAAGTAAGTGATTGTAAGCATGTTGGTTAACCCTACAGCTGCACACATTGGCTGTGAGGCAGATAGGGTTACAAACCGAAACACGAGTCACGGGAAGACTGTGGCACACACTTGAGTTTCAAAAAAATCAGCAGTGAGCTCGGAGTCAGTTAGAGGATGTATCAGGCACTCAAGGCTCAACATACAAGAATTGCAGAACAAAAAGAGTTGTGATTGTGATTTTGTCTCATTAACTGCTATATAATTATTTAATTACTGTTGACAAATTCTCACACAATGTCAAATTACTGGCACAACATTACCACAGGAATGTGACCTTTAGTGATCTCAATCAGTTGTCAAATAAGGCTAAGTAGCTAGTAGACCTAAGAAACACCACCGTTATCCAGATGCAATATAAACATACACAAAAAAGAATTACTCTTTTTACCTAACTTTCTCCTTTCTTCTTTGCTGCCTCAGATAAATGTTGCTTCTTTCTGACATGTCCTGCAGGAGATTGTGTTGACGGCTGCCCTTTAATCATGACTGCTGTAGCTTTAACTAAATGTTTTTAAACATGTATTGACCAGAGTGGTCAAAGAACACAAAGGGCTCATGAGCCTTGTAAAGCACTGACTAATAACTTGTTGTGTGTTGTATATTTATGTGTGCAGAATGAGACCAGAGCAATAACAGCAACACCAACCCCCAGGAGAATGGAGGAGATGTGCCTTTGGAAAATAACTAAACTAGTAGCTGATAATAACTCCTGGTTCTTTGACCTACCAAATGAAAAAAGGGCCCTTTTTTCCATCCAAATATTCAAATATGTTTTATCAGGTTTTGCCTCCAGTAAAATATCCTGGTTCATAAAAGAATAACCAATGCATACCTCAGGTCTTTAGTGACCAGGGACTATATTAGACTGGTAATTTATTAGCTTCATTAAAACAAGCACTCAACCCCCTGGTATTCCTGAAAACATTTGTCTTTAAGAAAGTTTGTTCAGGTGTGAAAATGTAAGAATAGTTTTTCTAATGTCATTAGAGGCCTGTATGTAGGTATTTAAAAATGTTACATGTTTTATTCACTGAATGCTGGATGCAAGTGATAGCAGTGTTGTGTTTCTCCTGTTTTTCATGATGGTGCTGTTGGCTGAGTGTTGTTATGAACACAGACACACTGATGAGAAACTTGTTTAGAAATTAGTTTAATGTGATGGTGCAGCACCGAGGTGTCAGGTTTAGTGCTGATCTTTTTCTTATTGTGCATCTGTTTGAAGTGTTTTTGCTTTGTATTATCTTGTTTTTCCTGCCCTGTGAAGCATATACTATATTAAATGTTTTAATATTATGATACAACCTAAAGATTTCCTCATACTTTTATTACCAAAACCCACACATTGCGATAGTCAGTTTTGTAAACTGTGAAACATCTGAATACTAAGAAGCCGAAATGTTACTGCTCATCCACACCAGAAAAATAGTGTTGCTGTCTAGCTTTGTTTCTTATTTTGTCCTGCTTATGAGAATTCAATTCAATTCAATTTTATTTATATATCGCCAAATCACACAGAGGGAGGGAGGGGGCCTACACAATATACACAGAGGTACAGACATCAAAGGTGTCATCACGGAATAAATAATGGTACAGATATTTATAGTAGTGTTAATGAAAATAATCATAATGTTAAAGATAATTATAATAATAACAATAGGACTAGTAACAATAGTTGTAGCAGAGGGTGTCGAGCAGGAACACGGGGGCAGCAGGTGACCCGCTACTTTTGGAGACTCTAGGAACCACAAGTAACCGTGCATTCTGGGAGCGCAGTGCTCTGGTGGGGTAGTAAGGTACTATGAGCTCTTTAAGATAAGATGGTTCTTGACCATTAAGAGCTTTGTAGGTAAGAAGGATTTTAAATTCTACTGGAAGCCAATGCAGAGAAGCTAAAACAGGAGAAATGTGATCTCTTTTCCTGGTTCCTGTCAGAACACGTGCTGCAGCTTCTGGATCAGCTGAAGAGTCTTAATGGACTTTTTCAAGCAGCCTGATAATAAAGAATTGGAGTAATCCAGCCTAGAAGTAACAAATGCATGGATTAGTTTTTCTGCATGATTTTTAGACAGGATGTTCCTGATTTTTGCAATATTACGTAGGTCCAGCTGCAGCCCACAGAAGTTAAACTTCCAAATATGGTTCGTTCTGGAAGACACCATGCACAAATTGTGATCAGAATCAGCTGTAATGGTCAGGTATGTGTACACGTGGTAGGAATTTGACTTTGGATTGTAAGTTACTCTAGATGTACATACACAGGACCTAACCTGTCACTTAAAAATAATACACCAGTAAAAAGAAAACGCCAACTATTTGTTCAACTTCTTCAAAAAAAGACGGTTGTATTTAAATCCAAAATATTCAACCAATGTGGTTAGCACTCAAACACAAAACCCTTTACAAAATCCCGTTAAATCAACAGAAATCCCATTAAAAATTCATAAAAAAGTTCACATAAGCAAAATTAAATGTCCAGAATTACATACAGTACATTAAAAGAGATGACTCCCAGTCATCTTCAATTTGAGGAGGTGTGTATGTGAGAGTGTGCGTATGTATGTTCAAGGTGAAACTGGTAATGTCATATCCATTCAACTCCAGATGAAGCTGTTACTTCATGTCAGTTGAGTTCATTTGTAAGAGGGTTCAGTCTGTTTGGGGCTTTAATGACCAAGAAGGGTAGGAGGTGCAGGGTTATATATTATGTATTATGACTTCAGTTTTATTGTGGTGTTTTTCTGTTATTTTGTTATGTCCATTCCTGTGTTGCTCTTTGCCTCTGTGTTCTTGTTTAGGTTTGGTTAGTTGATCATTGCTTCCTTGTTCTCTGTTGTATTTGGTTTCACATGTCCTTGTGTATTGCTGCTAGCTTTACTTCCTGTTTTATTTTGTAGTGATCAGTTTCATGTGTTTTTGTCTAGCTTTGTTTCCTGTCTGCTTGATAAACCGTTTTGAACTGCATCCACCCAGCCGCTGTCTGCTTTTGGGTCCACACTGTTTCCCTGCCGTAACAGCCTACCCGATAGCCTCCATACTTGATCAAACTGTTATTTATCTCCTCCTTGTCACTCACACTCTTCTGCTCTCCTTCATGCAGCTTTTGTTTGTTTCCCTTCCCCTGTCTGATTTATCAACTCACCTTCCTTCCTCTCAAGGTTGAAAAGGGCTATTCTGTAGTTTTTTTCCACCACTTTCTGCTACAATGCATTGCTTGTTTAGATGAAGGATGGTGATTTGAAAATGCCTGATGAAAAATCTTCTGTTGGGCCAAAAAGTTGCTCAATTAAAACTGCTGGGAGTTAATAGTACTGTTTGTGGATCTTCTGTCTGATTCCTGCCAGTTGTTTATTTTCAATAAAAACATTTTTTGCTTCTCTGGGAACTGACATTGAGCCCAACATGCATGCATCTTCAATCAGAGTACATTTAAAGTAGTATTTCAAAGTAGAAATTAAATCTGCTATTAATATTTTTCCTTTACCCCTTGTGTTGTGGTGCCCAGTGATTTAATGCAGTCTTTGTGATGACTGACAGGTTGTTCCTTCATGCAAAATAGATTTGGGGTTTAAAATTTTAATTAAGCTTTTTCGACTCTTAGAACAAGGGGAGTAAACAGAACGTTAAGACTACAAAAGGGTTTTAAAAAGCTTCAGGAATGGATGGCCTTCCCATAGATTACAACAAAAACACCCACTGAGCTGTTACATGCCACATTATAAACTCACAGCGCGAAGCATACTGTAGGTCAGGGTGACCAGATGAGAATAGGTGACAGGTGGGACACGGGAGTTGGGGATGGTCGAGGCCTCCAGTAATAGGAACATTACATCATGTGAAAGTCAAAACTCAATGCAGAAATGTATTATTTTTGTTGATGAAGTCAACTGTCTGGTGTCAGGAAAGACAGGACAGGATTCGGACATCTGGTCAATGTAGTGGACTCACCAACAGCTATTCACAACAAGGTCACATCTGAAGGAGGGAAGTGGTCCATAACGGTCCACAAAATCATACGTAACCTATATGAACATGAGAAATTTGAATGAACTTGAGCAAACACACAATGCAGAAACCGCTCTCTCACCAACTTTGGAAGTCCAGACAATGAAAGTTATATTAGGGGCACCACTTTTATAACAAGAGAAACTTGATAGCCAATTACCTAATTCAGTCTCATTAAGCTATAATAAACTACTAATTTGGTATTCTGATTAATAATTAAATCAATAACTATCAAAATTACCATTAACAGCCAGTCAGTTGAAGGATTTGGAGTTATACATGGAAAAGAATGGGTATATATGAATTCTGATGCAATATAAAAATTAAAAACAAGCATTTATTTACAAACTAAACAAAGCAAAAAACACGACATCAAATTGACAAATGCACATAACAGAGAGAAGACAAAGAGATCTGCATATTAAGGACTGTGTGTGTGTGTGTGTGTGTGTGTGTGTGTGTGTGTGTGCGTGCATGTGTTTGTGTGTGCGTGTGCATGAGCACATGTGGGCAAACAAAAAACAACAACATTTTATTTATTTTATAGTGTTTATAAGTGTTTTCTTGCTTTTATCATATATCATCGCTCCTCCTCTTCATTCCAGTGCATGATGATCAGAAGCTCTTGCTGCAGGAAAACCAGAGCAGAGTACGTCTTAATTTCAGAACTTAATTCCACATAAGCAGTGTAACAGAAAATTATTAAATTATGATTTTATTTTTATTTTTGCATGGTATAATCTTCGCTCACTTCTTGCTTTCTACCAGTGTTAGTGTGACAAACAGCTCTGTGGCTGCTCACTTCCCCTCGTTTACCAAGAAGCAAGGTTTGTGGGTAAACTGTCTCGTGTTGGACTTCCGGTATCTCAAGCTGGTCACCGTAGCAACTAATGATGCACGGTTAATCTGCTTGGTGTAAACTTCAGAGGATCACATCAGAACAACTGCTGACCAATCAGCTCACTGTAAAAACTGAGTCATCATTCCTACACTTTACTACATAATAAAGTGATGAGTAATTAAGCGTTGTTTTTGGACGTGTAGGGTTCTGTGGTCAAGTAAGCAACAATAAATATGCAACATCCGGTAGCCTATGGTAGAAAAAAGTAGTAAAACTAGTAGTAGAAATGTCTCAGTTTGGTTAGGCACCAAAACTGCTTGGTTAGGGTTAGGAAAATATGGTTTGTGTAAAAATAACTATTTTCACTTTTACGTCATAGTTATCCAACGAACGTTGAAGTCAAGGGCAACTGGACTTGATCTCAACCTTTGTTGGATAACCCCCATTAAAACACCCTCTTCTCTCCTGTCTTAATTACCTGCACTGTCAGTGATTTTAATCCTGTCTGGTGCAATTGTTTTTCAGCCAACTTCTCCTGTAATTTAAATCAAGATGCAAGAAATACTCACTCTAAACTAAAGACATATAATAATTTCCAGCCTTATTTCTAATGTTTGGAATTATTCACAGTGTTTCTACAGCTTATTATTGTATTATGATAATGTAATCATACTGTTTTCATTTCACTTCATTGTCTATCACTTTCCTTTAGGTATCAGCGTTCTCATATTGTTCTGGCTCGAAATGAAAATGACAAACCTATAACAACAAATGAGGTGATTTAACTAAACTGACTAAATGATCTCAAAATATCTTGACATTCAAGTGTGTCTTTGTGTCTCTCTGACCCTTGTGGAGAAGTCAGACAGATCAACATATTTTGTTATTATTAGGATTTACAGAGGTGTTCTTACCTCGAGCCCACCTTCGGTACATGTATATGCACACTATGAATATGGCATTGTAGAAAATAAACAGCAGGCCGGAACACACAAGCCTGGGCAGTGACATAGGAGGAGGAGTAGGCCTAGTAGGAGGGACATCTGGAGGCCGAGCTGTGACGAAGAAAACAACCATCAGAGTTTACAACATGAAACCTAATCAGTTCTATTTTCATCCAAATGTAAAACACAATACTAAACATTTAAACATGTCTTTTGAGCTGTAAACTAAAAGACATCACAGTTTTCAAAGTGTGAGGCGGGCCTCCCTAGGGGGTCTCCAAACTGTTTCAGGGGAGGCTCAGTGAATGGAAGTGAAACAATATTACATTACTTATTGTATTAGTTATCAAAAGGAGATCACATAGAATAGCCTACATGCGTGAGAGTTCAGAAATACAGTAGTTTTTGGGAACTGTTTTCCCCCCATCAGAGTCAGAAACTCATAAATGCCTTAAGACAGAGTTTAAAAAAAAACTGTAGTCAGAATTTATGTCAAACAAAAAGTAATATTAGGCTATTTTTGCTCAAATGTTGAGTATCTATGGGATCAAATAATATAATGATGATCCCATAGGCATCCAGTTGAGCAAACTTACCAAGTAAACTAAATATGTGGTGGAGGGGCACCATTTCCCAAGCTTTGTCTGAGGGGAGGCCCAAGACTCTATGGCTGCAGTCTGGAGCCTCCTGTCTCATGCCCTCCCGCCTGGTGCCTTCCGCTAGCTTCTACGTTGCAATATAAAAGCTCACATCTAGTTCATTCTGTCTTCCTCGTACTTTAGTGTTTTTGAAGTGAATAGTAAACGGCAATCATGTGAATGAATAAAATACTTAATAAAATATCTGTCAATAAGTTAAATGCAGACTTTCATGCCAATGAATAATAATACTTAATAATATGTCCGTCTATAAGATAAATACAGATGGTAAACAGACTAAAGATCCATTTTGTGATCGTTATTATATTGTAATCTAGCAATCTGTGTTATGAGTTGTATTTTTTCCAGATGGGTTTCTCGTTTTTGCCATTATTTTCTTGGTCCTGTGCTTTTCTGTTTTCCTGATCTGTGTACTTCTGTGTTACCTTTTGTTTGGACATTTGCCGCTGTGCTCCCAGCGTAAGTCCGTTTAGTTTTTTGTGTCAATAAATCTTTATTCGAACTGCAACAACCTCGCCTACAGTCTGCTTTTGGGTCCACACCTCAGTTCTCAGTTTCTGCACTCAGTTCCTCATGACAATCCGGTAGAAAGATTGTTTTAAATGTAGTTTTAAATCCCGCTGGAGATATTCCTGTCTGTTGTAGTGCAACATTAGACAGGCTATAAACTCCTGTTACTTGTATGCTTGTGTGTATGTCCATGCTATTGACATACAGGCAAGCATATTTCATTGAGATTCAGTCAGCTTGTGTGTAGGCCTATGGGTGAGCTGGTGGTGATCTATATGTACCATGTAGAGCTTAATCCTTTTGTCTTTTTAGGGTGACAATTTTACCACTAGTCCAGGGACAGCAGATATAAACAGCCATTTGCTTAATTCTGGCACATTGTACATTTATGTATTATTAATGTGTATTGTCCCTGTCAAATAAGCCTGAAATAAACAAAAGAGTATGTTGTATCAGGACTTCTACCTGGCACTGCTGCTTATCCAGTGTATGTGCCAACCCAGCGACACATAGAATACACACAAAAGAATTAAATAATAGTTTTTGCAACTATTTCCCTATATTAAGTGTGGAAACAATATAGGATACGGAAATTAAAATGAGTCTTAGCAAGATTATAAAATGTTTATTATTCTGTTCATTTTCACTTTCCTCCTGCACTTACTGGCAGAAATTGCTTCAGAAACTTCTTCAGAAGTTTAGATTTGTTTTTGTTTCAGACACAGACTTTTTTGTTAGCAACAAGTGACTTGCTCAGCACAATAGGCTATACAAGACATGTGTTATTTAAAAAAAAGACACTGATGTGTTCCTTAGGTAAAATCACAGAAAGAAACCACCAGTTACAAGTCTGTTACCATAAACTGCTATAGGTAATGTGAAATAATATTCGTTAACAAATGTCTAAGTGAAACACTGTTGCTGTTTAAAGTGTTAAAGTCATCGCAGGTTTCATCAAAGTGACAGTGACAAATACGTTGACATCAGGGACACAACAATAACATCCAGAAATCTGCAATAATTTAAGATTTTATACATTTTTTAATTGATTACATCAATGAACTCACCCACGACTCTGACACTTTCTCCTTCTGCTGCTTCTTCTCTTAAGACCGGATTGCAAACAAAGTTTAGGTGCATAGGATACTGCCAACTACTGTACAGTATTTAAACTATGTTTAAAACAATTTTTCTACCAGATTGCTGGAATAGCATTTTAATAGCAATATCCTTAGCATGACAGTCTGCATTTATCAGATCAAAAACACCTAAAACGAGGTAGAAATTTGGAACAAGCTTTTATTTTGAAATGTAGAAACTAACATTGCAGGGCCAATGCTGACAGAGAGTTTACTGTTTGGGACTCATGTATGTCATGAAATGCATAAAGCGGCCTGAGCAACTCCGGCAAAGTAGCAAAAACATGATCTCTTTTGCTGGTTCTAGTCAGTGTGCGAGCAGCAGCGTTTTGTATTTGCTGGAGAGACTTAAGAGATTTGTTTGAGCAGTCTAATAGTATGAAGTTGCAGTTTTCAAGCCTTGAAGTAACACGTATCTGTGGATAAGTTTCTCAGCATTGTTTTGATGCAGAGTGTTTCTTATTTTCGCAATATTGCAAAGATGAAAACGGCAGTCCTTGTAGTTTGCTTAATGTGGGAGTTAAAAGATATGCACTGATCAAAAATAACTCTATGAACTATCATGGTGGTGCTGAAGGCCAGGGCGATATGCCATCTAAAGCAACCATGTCTTCAGACAATGTGTCTTGGAAGTGTTTCAGTCCAATTTTTGAACACTAAGAAATTAAAAGACATCTAGGTTTCTTAGATTCTGAATTCAAGATCACCAAGAGTAACAACACAATAGAATAAAACCAAACTGTGCACAAACAAAAGAACTAATAAAACCTGCCCTATTCTTCACCGATTGATTTGCTTATTGAGTAAATGGAGGTGGGGAGGAAAGACAGTTTTTGTTATTTTTGCTTTTGTTATTTATAAATGCCAAATTGACTGGTATTGATTGGATTAATCTTGTTATATTATATTTACATGTAAACTTTTTCATTTTGCTGCAGACTATTTTGGCAATACTGTTTGAATAAAACATTCATGCCAATAAGGCACACTGAACTGAACTGAGTTTAAAAAGATTTCCTCTTCATCTCCAAGCTCTAAATTGTCTTCTTGATGACAACAACTCATAATCGGAAAATAATATGTGTGAGGGATTATCTAAGATTTTGTTAGCCTGTCTAACGACAGCACACTCAAGCATAGACTCACAATGCCTATAAAAAGTATTCAACCTCCTGGATGTTTCACCCTTTTGTTTCTTTTATACATGAAATCATGGCTTTTTTGACAAGAATTTGCAAAAAAACCTCTTTAATATCATAGTGAAAATGGATTTTTACAAACTAACGTCAATTAATTAAAAATATATAAGGTAAAGAAGATGATTGCATAAATATTCATCCCCTTTAAAGTGATTGACCTAATTCAACAAAAGTCCAGCTAGTTGATGCCAGCAGTGTCACAAGTAGTGAAATGGAGATCAGTGTTTGATCAGTGTTCAGCTGATGTGTGTCAAGTGATTGTAGTATAAAAAACATCTGGGAGATCCAGTCTCTGGTTCATCAGTACTCCTGCAACATAAAGAAAAAAAGAACACTCCAAACAACTAAGAGAAAAGATCATTGAAAAGTACAAGTTGGTAGATGGCTACAAAAAGATTTCCAATTCACTGGACATCCCATGGAGTTCAGTTAAATCCATGTATGGCACTTTTTTAAATCTGCCTAGAGCTGGGCGTCCTCACAAACTGAGTGACCGGGCAAGAAGAAGACTGGTGAGGGAGGCCACCAAGACACCTATGACCACTCTGAAGGAGCTTCAGTGGCTCAGATGGGAGAGACTGTAAATACAACAACTGTTGCCTGGGTACAGTCGAAGCTGTATGGGAGAGTGGCAAAGAGAAAGCCACTGTTGAAAAAAGCTCATATAAAGTCTCGCCTGGAATTCGCCCAACGGGATGTGCTAGACTCCATGGTCAAATGGAAGAAGGTTCTTTGGTCTGATGAGACAAAAATTGAGCTTTTTGCCCATCAGAATAGACGCTATGTTTGGCGAACACCAAACACTGCACATCACCATCTCCACCATGAAGCATGGTGGTGGCAACATTATGCTCTGGGGATGCATCGCAGCAGCAGGCCCTGGAAGGCTTGGAAAGGTAGAGGGGAACATGAATGCAGCAAAATATCGCCAAATCCTGGAGTATAATCTGACTAAGTCTGCAAGAGAACTACAACTTGGGAGAAGATTTATTTTCCAACAAGACAACGACCCCAAGCATACAGCAAAAGCTACACAGAAATGGACAACAAGGTGAATGTTCTGGAGTGGCCAATTCAAAGCCCAGATCTCAATCCAATCGAGAATTTGTGGCTGCACTTGAAAAGAGCTGTTCACGCACGAGCTGTTCACGCACGATCTCTGAGCAAACTGACAGAGCTTGAGCTGTTTTGCAAGGAAGAATGGAGAAACATTGCAGTGTCCAGATGTGCCAGCCTGATTGAAACATATCCACACAGACTCAGTGCTGTAATTGCAGCCAAAGGTGCATCTATTAATTGACATTAGTTAGTAAAAATCCATTTTCACTTTGATATTAAATTTGATATTAAAGAGGTTTTTGCAAATTCTTGTTAAAAAAGCCCAATTATATTGACCATGATTTGATGTATAAAAGAAACAAAAGGGTGAAACATTCAGGGGAGGTGAAGAATTTTTATAGGCTGCTGTAGATCCTTCATGCCATTTACTTTCATAGCTGTTTTTTGTCATGTTTATGAGTCTTGGGTTTCGCCTGTGCAGTAAGGGAGCCAAACCAGGCATCCATGCAATATCTTACATTACAAGGATTGCTGTTGCTTTTGGCTGTAGACATGGAGTTATTTCGTTTGGATTAATATCATTGTTTTGGATTTCTTGGACTTTGCCTGATTTTGTTCCTTTTATGTTTGTTAAATACTGTAAATATAAAGAGAACTGATCCTGTCGTGCTTGTGTTTGGGCCCAAAAAGTGTATTGTTATTTTTATTATATATATTTTTGGTGTATCTCTAGTATTTCTTAAATGTATTCTTTCTTTTAGATATTAAAATTTAAAACAAAATGTTTGTAGATTAAACATTCATCCCACCTGTGCATTTCCTTAAAAATGTGGTTCTTTCTAGATCAGCTCCGCACAAATAAATGTTTGCAATACTAAACACCAGAGATCACACACACACATATTGTAGATATAGAGCAGAGCATCATGTCACCTTTCACAGACAGCCAGCTCTGTGGTGATTCTCCTTTTGTGGGGTGTTTACACTTGTAGAAGCCTTCGTCAGACTCGGACACCGCTGGGAGGATCATCTTTCCTGCAGGCTCATTTCCAATGAAAACATCATTTCTGTAGAATGTAGACAAATCTGACGTAGAGTCATCCTGCTGTTCTTTCTTGTATGAACAGCAAAGTGTCACTTTATCTCCCTCTGTCACAGGAAGTACAGGGCTCACCAGGATCACGGCACCAGCTGAAACCAGAATTTACACAGTCCCATAAAAACAATAAATTGACAATCCAGCAGATTATAAAGCACAGATGGAAAAGACACAAACAAGCTCCATGCACATTTGGTATTACCTGTCACTGTGATGTTGATGATGTTGCTGTACTCTCCCTGCCCAGACTCACACCAGTACACTCCGGTGTCTGATGGGAAGGCATCCTCTATGGTGCAGGAGGACTCATCTTGGATCCCCATGCCAACCTCACATCCCTCAGACGTGCTAAAGGAAGTGTTTCTTCTCACTGTCCAGCCGTTGGAGTTTGCAGGTGTCGCACACCTCAGAGAGATGTGCTCATACTTAAAGAACTGACATCTGTTGGGAGTGACGCTCAGTGTGGCTGCAGGGGGGGTAAAACCAGAAATAAGAATGGATTTCAATTTTTTCTGTGTAGGCAGCTGATTGAATGTATGCACTGCTGTGGTTACTTGCTGTTAAGGTTATAAAATTAAAATCTGAATCACTTCCAAAACGACATATGACCAATGGAGATTACCAGCAACAGACGTTCTGGACCTTTGTTGTCACAATTACTTAAGTTAACTTACGTAAATGGTTGCAGTTTGGTTAAAAGATTATGGTTTGGGTAAAAATAAGTATGTTACATACATAAGTTACGTGCCACTTTACTTTTGTTAAAGAGTTGGTATTATGCTTTTTGGCTTTTTCATTAAGTCATTTACCTTTTTTGTGCATGTAATAGGTTTGCAAAGTGAAACAGCCCAAAGTCCAGCCCAAAGGGAGTTCCCATTAGGGAGCTGGGAGCATTGGGATTGGGGATCCTGCGGGTGGTTTTAAAAAATATACTACGGGTCCCACAGTAGCGCTGATATGATGGAGTCAACAAACGAAGTTGAAAAGAAGATAAAAGTGAGTGTATGCAGCTGTTTCTGAGAATATCCTGCACAGGCCTGACTCAAACCTGCGATTACAGATACAGGCAGCCACACTAACAAGGAGGCTAAACCCCATGGGCACTGGCATTAGTCGCCAGTGTGTCTCTTAAGGTGTCTGGGAGTGAGGTTTACTCACTGTGGTGAGGTTTTGTTCCACCCTCTGTGCTCAGCTGCAAATCCCACCAGAAGCATTTGAGAAGCGGAGCATTTTGCCAGCCTGACATTACTGACGCGATCATTTTTTTTCTTTCTGTGCTTCTACGATGGGTAATAATGTATATGTTTGCTAATTAGTAGGTTATAACCTCTTCACCTTCTGCTTCCAAAACTCCTGAAATTAAGCGTCATGCCTTGTCCTTTCCGGTGTTGTCCTGGATCTGTGGTGTCATACAAGACCTTGTGTTTTTACACTTTTTCCAAGATGAACCTTGGCATAGAATTTATAAGATTCTCTGTGCCGTTTCTGTGTCTGACTTTCTGCCTGGCTCCGCTCTTTGCAGTTTGACGCGGCTTTCATGAAAAATAGACTAGCCGCAGGGCAGAGCAGACAGCAGCTTCTGGGACATAAGACATAATACTGTGGTGCATCTGGTGGAATCCCAAGCATTGTCTAAAATGGCCACGATCCGCTCCAGCGTCAGGGTTGCAGCTGTAACACAGTGCAGCTGAGCCAGGTGGAATCTGTATTTAAAAGCTGTTAATGTTCTTCCAGTGGCCAAAAATTGATAAATGCAGTTATAAAAATGATTTCATCTGTCATTGTGCAGAAATGTACAAGCCTATCATCGCTTGGTCAATCCCCCTATATTCACTGTATATCAAAATTTTTAAATCTGAGGTCTGTGGCGACATTTTACGTCAACCAACAATTATTGGTTTGCAGCCCAGAGCCATGTAGAGAACTCCACAAACTGCCATTGCTGACAAAGAGGTCTATTAAAGAGAGTGTTTATTGTGAATTCTTTGTTGTTTATTGTTATTATGATTGTGTTTTTGTAAAAATATGTTTACATATAGTGTATGCACTAGGAGTGTGACGATATCTCGACATCCATGAGATCTCGACATCCATGAGATCTCGCAAGATTAAAACCTGACAAAACCTGTCTGAAGGGGATACTACCAGCAGGTCAATACCATAATACACAGCAGAGTATAGGGTAGGTAGACTTAAAAAATATTATGAATTCTCGTAATACTATGACTTTTTTCTCAACATGTCAGAGAACACATATGTGGGATAGATTTTCTGCAGAAAGTTTTGAACATGAGCAGAAAACCTGCTGAAACACAGGAGCTATCAAAGTCCAAGAGTTTATAACTTTATTAAAATGTATTGATTCATCATTGAAGAAGAAGAGGTGACTTCCCCAAATAAAGACACAAAAGAGGAAGGAAGACATGAAATCACATGTGCATGTGTGCTGACTCAGCAGGGATGATATTACATGAGAAAAGTTGATCTACAGGAGAAACATATCTGAAAGTAACATAGAATGCCTGAGAGGTGCACTGACTTATATGCTGTTATAGTTTTATACACTGCTCCAAATAACTAAGTGAACACTTAAATTACACATCAGATCTCGATGAACAAAATAGTAATAGAAAGTTAATATTTTGCCGGGAGACACAACAAAGCTTCTTGCAATGGCACATGTGGACGTGCCATTCTGGAGGAGCTGGACTACCTGTTCAACCTGAACTAGCAAAACACAAAACTAGAGAATAACCAATCAAGAAGAAAAAGTGTATATTGAATTGTCACATGCCATCTGAATTTTGTGTTTACATAAACAAAAACATTTCCACCATAAATTGGTGCAGAAATATTCATGAGAATGCAGTAAATTAAGTGTTTAATGATCAAAATGTTTATGTTTTCTATTCTGCATTTAAGATTTCTTAAAAATAGTGTTGAAATATCATCTCATCAATATTGTGTCTCGTCTCAAGTGTCTCATCACCCCTTTTATGCACTCATCCCAATAAAGCTGCTTGAATACAAATTGAAAAGAGATGATAAAACTCTCTGTCTACATGGCTCGGTAGCAACCGTAGTGATGGAGCACGTTAAGCAGTATGGCAGAGCCTATGGCGGAAAAACCCAAGCGTCTAAGAGAAGTTTCTTATGCTACAGATAAAAAAGAAACTCTGCGTTCAGAGGAAGAATTCAAAATAAAGTCACAGATGGTGAGGACAAACACGCATGGTGTAGCTTTTCCTTGTGAAAAACAATATAAAACTGAAGAGGAAATATAAGCAAAACAAAAGACAAACAAACAACAACAGCCCACTAAACAGCACAATGTGTTGCTTTCTCCACCTGTTTCTAAGGTGACAAAGTAGACTGAGGACAAACACAATGTTTTGTTGCTGCTCTTGGACAATTTGGTGTTTGCAAAATATTTGCAGTAGGCTATGCAGCTATTACATTTAATCTACCAAAATTAATTTTCTCTGTATTTCTGAACACAAGCCTGGGATAAGTTCAGCTGTAGGCATACGTCCCAAGGACGTATTGACAGTGTTTGTGTACTGCAATTATCCACACTGCCAGAAGGGAGACAAAGATTTGCGCTGCAGGTTTTAACATACGTATATATTTACATACATGCAGCTTCAAATATATTTGGTTTGCCAGAACATAAGATGTTCACAATACTTACTTGAGCAGGGCACAATGTTCGGCTTAGATTCATCAGGTACTACATTACAAAAACACAAATCATCAAGTACTCCAAACTTTAGGTTGTTCTGGGTAGAGCAAGCTGTGGTTATAAGGAAAGGATAACTCAATCAAATAGCAAACAAACAAAGTCAAATTACTCACAAAGCATTAGAAAGAGCTCCATTCTGTTTCGATTTGTCTTCCTCAATGTCAGCTTGTGTCTACCACATCCTGTCAGGAAGTCCTGAATGTTGTTGAGGCTGTGGCTCAGGGGGTAGAGCGGTTGTCCACTTACCAGAAGGTCTGTGGGTCGATCGGCATTGCCAATGAGTCCTTGGGCCAGACACTGAACCCCAAATTGCTCCTAATAGCTGTGACATTATGTGAATGTGTATGAATGAGTTTATGTTTCTGGTGAGCCTCTGCTCATCATTGTATGAAAGTGTACAATGAGGTGAATGTGATGTAGTGTAAACGCTTTGAGTTGTCGGAAAGACTAGGAAGGCGGTATACGAATCTATTTACTATTGCAAAACATAAATTTTTTTTTATCAATCTTTTAAATTATCAATGTTTTTTAAAAACATTTTAAACTAATGGACCTAGGCTTTTTGTGTAAAATCAGTGGAGTGTTCCTTTAGGAGAATGCTTCGTCCAGACAATACAACATTTATATCAAATATAATAATGCACATTTGTACTGTTTCTTTTACAAAACCTCCCTCCTGAAAGTAGCAGCCATGTAGACTTAATAAAACTCTCAGCCTCAGTGTGCATTCTGGGTGTTTCTATTCAAAGTGCATTTCAGACAGGATTAGTTTTACAGAAACTAACTTGCAAAATCACCTGATACAAATCTTTGGTTGGAATAAAAACTAGTGCAACAATAAGTGCTACAGTAGTCTGAGCTTCTTAAAAGTGTTCCAGATGTTGTCCGTAAATCCATACATGTCTCCACACACATTCCCGGACATTCCCCCAACACTTCATGTGTTAGTGCATTTCAAAATGACGTGTGTGAGTGTTTGCACTTTCATCACCACTCTGGTTAATGTATGGTTATGTTTAGTTTACTAAATCTACTTGGCGAAAGCTCTGCAGTATGTGACAACCTGGCAAAATAGTGTCATAGCTGTTTCAAATAATTTGCAGCTTATTTGAGCCATTAAAGAATCTGTAGGGAAAGGAAGTCAGACATTTCACAAAGTGAAGATTAATATTGTTCCACAAACCTTTAAGGCGCTCAAAGATGTTTGTGTTATTCAGGTCTGCTAGCCTGTTTTTGCCAACAAGAACATTACTTGAAACAAAACAGAGGCATCATTCGTGCAGTAAAGTCATTTTGTTCCACTTAATGTATGTTATGTATAATAAAGTAATGTGACACTGTCATACACTGTGAAAAATGTTTTTCTGTGTGAAGAACTTCTGTGTGAACTCAATCATTTGTGAAAGTGACCAATACTTCCCCAGTTTACTTTTGAACTCACTCTTAAAGTAACATTAGAGATTCTGTTTCTCTTTTGAGGGACATTGCGGTTACTAAAACTTTCAGATGCAAATCTACAACGGGTAACTTAAAGGAGAGATTCATGACTTACCAGTGATTCAATTCCCTCCACATGTACTGTGCCAGTGACAAAGCAAATGAGGACAATGCAAGCGTGAAGGCTTACGGCAACCTCATGACCTGAAAGATGTCACAGCACCACAGTCCTGATGAGAGAAGAGAGGTTTTGATAATGTTGATACTTTCATCAGCGTGTGCTCAGAGCTGTGAGCTCAACACAGCGAGTGATGCAGCAACGGCTTTTTTTCCTGTGGGTCCACATTATCTACCATTGTGAGGAAGTTAGCTCTTGTCAGCATTTAAAACAAATCTCTACTCAGCCAAACTTCAGCCTCACAAAGCTGCAAGTATGGCTGCAGGCTTTAGTCCTAAACATTCTGAAAAGATATTGAAATAGTCAACTTCTCTTTCTAAAATTTAGTTTTTACTTAATGAAAGCTGCTTGTTGCTCTTGTGTGTTGTTTTTATTCTCTGCTGAAAAATAGGACAGGTTTCCTTTGGTCAGCCCCTCATGAGATAGAGATGTTCTTCTTTCAAAGTGCTCCTTCTGCTCTGCAGGACTGTCTTTTCCGTCTTGAAGCAGGTGAACAAACTGGTTATGGTTCCCACGACTCCACTCCACTGTCATATCTGTTGCATCCAGTGGGGGCTCAAGGTGGCACTGCAGAATCACGTCCTCACTGACTCCAGCTTCCACTGGATCATAAGAGCAAACCACCTCTGGGTCTGTTGAAGAAGTAGCATTAGACCAGATACAGACCTTTTACACTCAGCTACAACAAAGTCAACAACAGAGTTAAGCTACCAGAACAACAGGTTCCTGATTTCAGGGCTTTTGATAAATTGCAGCACTGTTTTCCGTCTTAATCCAGGTGGTTAAAGTGCCCACGACTCCATCCCACTGACATATCTGTTGCATCCAGAGACAGAGAGGACACAAAGTCTAGAGATTTTCTGAATCAGTGAATGGAAAAGCTTCTGGTAGTGAACCAAGGCCTACGTGCAGCTGTTGCTGCACCACGTAGGACTCTGAGCAAAAACCCAGGGGTACACATCTATCATTCAATATGTTTTAGACAATATATTTAAAATATATTTAAATTAAAAAACAAAACAGGAGAGTTGTACTGACAGGGATTCAATAGCGCACAGTAGCCGTTGCCAAGGTTACTGCCCGGCACCTGGTGTTTACCCATGAGGTGCTTGACTTGCCTGTCTGTTGACATGGGAAACGCAGTACGCCCCGTGGATCCAAGCAAGTACGCAGGCAGAGCATTGCTCCTCATCAAAAAAGGCCTTGAGACACAATGGCTGTGTGGATTCCCCTACTTGTTATATCATCACTGCCGCTGTTTAAGCTGACAATTGATGAGAGCTCTCAGGGAACCAGGAAATCTCCCTGTGCTCAGTTCTTCAATCCATATTTTGTGGCATTTAGCCTTTCATAAACTACATTTTCAAAGCAGTCGAACAACAGTTTGCTTTACTGCTTGCTGCACACAAAGGGAGACCTGCAACAGGGCGGTCTGGCAGCAACCTGAAAGCACTGACCAAGTTATAGTCATTTAGGGAAGTTGATTTAATAAAAATCTGATGAGTCCTTTATCTAAATTAAGGATTTTTATGAATGTTGTATGAAATGATTGCAAATGAAATAACTAGCTCTGTGCTATATAGCATGAGAAGTACACAGGTTGGGTTTGAACATGTCTGCATAGCTGACTGCTTCAAAACATTTCAAAGAACAATGTGATGACCGTAAACAGGTTTAGCTTTTACTCCCTGATTCTGGCAGCAGGATTGTCTTTGTCATACAAGAACCTGTTTTTCTTCACTAAATCTTAACTGCACCCATTTCAAAAACGTCAGTACAGCAGGTGAGCACTGTTAATCACAAAACAAATTCTTAGCTTCATTACAAGCAGCACACAGTAAGTGACCATCAGGGAAGTCTGAAGTCTTGTAGTTTTTAAGCAGGAGGAGGTTAAACAGCGGTAAGTAGAATCAACTGTCCCATTTTCTGCAATTTATTGGTCATCTATCCACTGACTCACATCCACATGTAACCTCATATAAAAGCTAAGTGGAGTTGGTTGACACATTTTAGTAGAATCTGATTGACATGTATGTTTTAAAATGCATTTTTTTTCAAAGGTCTAACTCATGGATTATGGGCTGATCCTCCTTGTGCTCACAGGTTGGTGCCTCTTGTTTGATTATTCTGCTGTTTGTTTGAGCTGAGATAATATGCGCTGATTATGTCTGGCTCACGGTCAAGGTGGACAGCAGACAAGCCCCATCCATCCTACATCTATGGCCAATCAAACTAGAGGAAAAATCCAGGGTGGACACTTGATAAGTACCAATAGTAGCAATGGTATTTAAATTAAATATATGAACACATTGTCCCGCACCAGATGCTCCAGTCTGAACAAAGGTAGCATCATCTAATCAAAGCCAGGCCCAGAGAGTTTCAAGGGCAGAATTATTATTATTATTATTATTACCGGGCCCTTCTCTGCTGAGATTGAACAATTTACTTTATTTTGATCATTCAGAAGTGCCTATACCAAAGTATTTCTGTGACAAACTGAGAAAAAGAGTAACTTAAAGACAGAAAATACTTAAAATGACAAAAGAAATGTGAGTGGTAAACACTAAACACCAATTTACTGAGGCAGGCTGAACTTGGGTAAAGCTCTAAGACATTAAGTCGAGCATAGCTGTTTATTGTTTCCATACCCTGTAGTCATGAAGGCTGTAGATTATTCACTTAAACTGCAGTGTAACTTTTACTGTCCTGTTTAATGCTCTTTTAAAATTTGTATTTCAATGTCTTTTTTTTATCATTGCCCTGTTGCTTTTACGTTTTATGGAAAGCACTTTGAATTGCCTTGTGGTTGAAATGTGCTTTACAAATAAACTTGTTTTGCCTTAGAGTGTATCCTGCTAGAATAAAAAATCTCACCAATAAGAAAAATGTATTGCAAAGTCCCACAGTATGGCTGAACCCACCTGCCTATTCATGTTCTAAGTGAAAGAATCTACATGCTTTACAAAAAAACGTAAGTAATAAAATACTATATATTACTATAATATATATTCTTTGTTTCAGGAACACTGGTCAATGTTGCCTCTGCCCAAACTCGTCAGTTCTACTTTGAGCGTATGCCGCTGAACTGGACTGAAGCTCAGAGCTTCTGCAGAGAGGTCTACACTGACCTGGCCACCATAGAAACCACAAATGACACCATTGCCGTAATCCACACCACACCGAGCTACACAGGCAAGTTCTCAATATTGGAAACACATAGACGGGTTTCTGTGCAATGTCGTCACAGAGATGCAAGAGCAACAAGGGGGCAGAAAGGAGAACCAACACGCGGCATATCTAGCAATAGTGTTGAGCAAATTACTCAAAAATTGTAATGAGTTAAAAGTAACTCATTACAGTATTACTTTACATTTTCCTGGGTATTACAGTTTTTCTCCATTGCTTAAACACTATAAGCTGACTTTTTAACAACTTAACTTCATTTCACAAAAAGCACACCCAATTCTCTAAACTCTACACAAAAATCACTTAATTTCTCATTGCCTACACCGTGTGGTCATTGAGAAAGAACTAACATTCAATATTGTTCACTCAATCAGCACAGGTTGAGCTCTGTTAGCACACAGCTACCCAGGTGGAAACACAAAGAGTCGTAATTGATAACACACCAATCAGAAGCTTCAATAGATAAAGAGTCAGAGTCAGTTCATTCAGTTTTGGAACAATGGATCCAGAAAAATCTGAAGGAAGAGGTGTGGGATGCCAGAGAGGAGGAAGAGGAAGATGAGGAGGAGGAAACACAGTATAGGGAGGAGTAAGAAGTGAAGGAAGGGGAACAGTAGGAGTTGGAGGAGGAGATGGGATAGGAGGAAGATGAGGAGATGGAGAAGGCGGAGCAGGAGCAGGGAGGTGGAGGAGGAGGTGGATAACGAGAATCTCTGGCCTGTCCCAGATCAAAGACAAGTCGCTGGGGGCAGAATAATTTGTTGTTTGGTGTGTTGAACTGTACAGAACACTAAGGAATACAAAGTGTGTGCAAATGTGCCAATGTATACATTTGTTATTTCTTTTGTGTTCGTCATGTGAAAATGTTTCTGAGGGGGAGAACCACAATCAACATTACTTAAAACCAGTTTGTGTAGTATTGTTTTGAATTTTTCTCACCAGTGTGTAAGACTGTGTTGTAGTTTGTGTGTCATGTCTGAGGGCAAAGTTTGGTTTTTGAGCAAGACTGAATGGTTTTGAGTGGAGAGCTTCATTTTGTCATGTTTGGGGAACTGGGTGAGAAGTTGTGGATTTGTGTTTAGAGTTTCGACAAAAAGAGGCATCATTTTAAGAAATTTGTTTTAGCAATCGAGAAAAACTGTGATGGTAGGCAAACTAGTTATGTTACTTGATACGTTACTATTGCCTTCAAAGCCCCACACCACCCCATCCCTAATAGTGAAAACCTGTTCAGCAGCTCATTTTCTGGAACAGTAATTAACCTGAGGCAGAGCCAATCCTGATCTCCTTGGGCCCGTCCTACCTGATGTGTGAGCAATGTTAACAATTTGCCATTGCCGCACAATCACACATAACACTGCAATGCTCTCACTACAATCCTAAGAAGCCTGAATGGAAACCTCTTCTAGAAAAGTCCAGTGCTGGTTTGAACTGACCTCTGCGCACTAACTCAGTCTTCATAAAGTCTGCTGGGTCATTTGGTGGCACAGCAACTGTTCAATTAGCGTCTAAGCTGCTTGTATATGATACTGGCTCTACATCTCTGGCTGAGGCTGCCTGTGTTTCACCTGGGCCACTGTGACATGCTAAAGACGTCTGGACAGGGACACCAAAGCTATGCAGAATTGTAGTACTGAGTGTATAGGACGGTCCAACCAGCAGAACTGAAAACACTGCAGCCTCTCAGACCTGATGAGGCTGTACAGTAGGCTAAAGATATATTTAAAAATAATATAAATCAAAGCAAGTCCCCCCCCGACTTTCTAAGTAATAGCATATTCACAACAGCAGCAAGGAGTAGCCTATGATTTTTACAGAACAATGTTTCTTAGCACCACTGACTTAAACAAAAAAATAAAGCGACTTTTCATCTAACGACACTGTTTTGCAGCTGCATTTGTAAGTTCAGTGATTCTTCAGTGATTCAGTGATTTCAGTGATTTTACAAAACACAAAAGTTGCCTTACACCAGCCTCTGCTGCCGAGTGGATGCTTCACTGGCATTAGCAGCCGCAGTTTCTTTCTACAGGCTAAGTTTCACGTTGCTGTGCTGCTTTAGCAGATCCTACTCTGAAATGACAGTTTATTATTGAGTCAACAAAAATTTAAAAGCAATGCGATATCCACGTTGATTGCAGTGGTTGACCACAGTCTTCTGACCGGCTACCAAAGCGGTTTTGCCCGCTGACTGCGTGTGCGTCCAGTAGTGTTTGTATACTGTATGTACTGTAAGTGTATACTCTATGTACAATCATGCACATACACAACAGCCATGTGTTTGATAAGCCTACTATATTAAGATACAATTATAAGATATGATTATGTGAAATGTGAAAGAAAAGGCCTTCAAAGAAAAATAGAGGAGACACAAAATTCCAGCTATTTCATATAATGAACATCTTTTTGAACAGGCAAGGCTTGGATAGGCCTCTATAACTACACCTGGAGATGGTCCCTGAATGACAGCAGCTTGTACGGTGAAGGAGAGGCAGCGTTCACAAACTGGTTTCCAGGACATCCCTATAATCTTAATGGACAACAGAACTGTGTGGTGTTTGTAAACTATTACTTTTACTATCGAAATCGCAATACTGGAAAGTGGTTTGACGACTATTGCAGCAACAGCCGACCCTTTGTGTGCTACACCGGTGAGTTTTCTTATAGCGTGAGAATTAACAAAGGGCTAAATAGATCTTCTACATGGCACATTGTTAATAACTTCTGTTTATCAATGTATTTTAAGGTACGGTCAATGGCACATCATCCTATGTAAAGATCGACACACCTTTGAATTGGACCGAAGCTCAGAGATTCTGCAGGCAGAATTATGCTGATCTAGCGAGGTACAGTGTGAACTAATGAAGGCACCAACACATACAATTACTATATATGTCAGACGTTGAATGTCTTTGGAGCAACCAGGGGTAAAGTGTCTCAGTGGGAATCGAACCCAGGTCTCCCACACCAAGTCAAGTTAAGTCATTTTATTTATATAGCTTTCAAAACCAGGGCTACAAGGTGCTTTACAGGGGTGGAGATAGCACAAGAAAAACAAATCTATGAAAACAAAATCTGGTACAGAGGATAAAAGAAGCATTAAAAGAGCAGACAACTGCTCAATAAAAAAATTAAATAATAAAAACAAAACTATTCCAAGGCAAATTAAATCAAAACTTGCGAAACTAGTGAGCATGATAACTCACCAAAGGCATGTGTCTTATTCAATAATAATAATAATACATTTTAATTATAGGTACCTTTCTGAACACTCAAGGTCACCTCACAAAACATAATAAAACAGTACAGCAATAATCGATAAAATTAACAACTAAAATTACAGTGAATAACATGAAATAGTACACAAAATCAGGGTACAAAACAACTGTAAACAAAGATTGAGAAAGAGTGATCACGTGGGATATGCCACTTTAAAAAGATGTGTTTTCAGACGGGATTTAAAAATGGAAAGTGAGTCAATGTTGCGGATGTCTGGTGGTAGAGAGTTCCAGAGATGAGGGGCAGAGCGGCTGAAGGCTCTGAACCCCATGGTGGTCAAACGAGCAGGAGGTACAGTGAGGTGAATAGAAGAAGAGTACGGTGATAAGAGTACGGGTAGGTTTGTTAATATGAAGGAGGTTAGTGAGGTACAGAGGAGCGAGGTTATGAATGGCCTTGAAGGTCAGGAGCAGAGTTTTGAAATCAATATGGTATTTAACTGGGAGCCAATGAAGCTGCTGAAGGTAATATGATTAATAGAAGGACTTCTGGTGATGATGCGGGCAGCAGAGTTCTGAACAAGTTGAAGTTTATGTATGGATTTGAGAGGAAGACCAACAAGAAGAGTATTACAATAATCAATGCAGGATGTGGCCAGTGTGTGAACGAGAATGGCTGTACTAGTGCGTGAGAGAGACGGTCGGAGCTGATTAATGTTACATAAATGGAACTATGCAGACCAAATGATATTATTAATGTGAGCTTGAAATTAAAGTGTGCTGTCGAGGATCACACCCAGACTCTTGACCTGAGGGGAGGGGGAAACTCTGGAGATGTCAATGGTAAGAGAAAAACTGTCAGATTTAGTCAAAGTGGATTTGGTGCCAATATTGACAACCTCAGTTTTGTCACTGTTAAGTTTGAGGAAGTTGCAAGAGAACCAGGATTTGATTTCCGTTAGGCAATCAGAGAGGGAGGTGGTTGGGAGAGATGTGGTAGGTTTGGTGAACAGGTAGAGGTGGGTGTCATCCGCATAGCAGTGGAAATGAATGTTAAATTTATGAAAGATATGGCCAAGAGGAAGCAGATAGATGATGAACAGAAGGGGCTCCAGGGACACCAGTAGTGACAGGGAATAGCTCTGATTTGAAATGTTTGAGTTGAATGAACTGAGTTCATGAACTGAGTGATCCACTGCGTTAACGCCGTTCCAAATGGATTGGAAAATCTGTCTGTTGCATTTGACCATTTTGGTCATTTGAATCCTTCCCTTCCTGTGTCTGTTCATTTCTTATTTTTAATTGCTTTAGTTATACTTAAGTGATCTATTTTTCATCTTTAGTTTTATGACTGTACAGCACTTGAGCTGATTAGTATGATGTTGATGATGATGATCATCATCATTGTGATGATTACAAGCAGGATAATTGATAGAAGTAGAGTACGGATAGAAAACCTCAATTGGAAGGTGATTATGTTGCACTGATTTTAAGATGTTGATTAACAGTTACGTTGTCCAGGTGGCTCAACATGTTACCAAATCCTTAAATAATCACATATGGTACAATATTAAATTTCCCAACAATTACTAACAATGCACGGCAGTGTGTAATTTGTTTTGTCATGTGTTTTATCTCTTCAGTTACAGTTATACTCAACCTTCTCTTGATGTGTATGTGTTACTGTTTCTCTTGCAGTATACGAAATCAAGCAGAAAATGACCTCGTCACAAACCTGACAATTGGGGAGAATGTGTGGATTGGTCTGCACTGGGAGCAACTGTGGTCTGACGGGAGCACCTCTCTGTTTCAAAACTGGGCCAGTGGGTCACCAGTCAGCACAGAGCAGTGTGTCACCACAGAGTTCAGTAACTCAAGACAGTGGTCAGATGCTAACTGCTCCCTCACTCTCCCATTCATCTGTTACACAACAAGTAATGCATTTTATCTCTTCTCACATAAGGCAGTTTATGTTATAACGGAAGCCCTAAACGGCCATTGATTCAAATATATTTATTACTCCGGTTTCCAATCTTGAGATAATTATCCTGTTATCACGGGAAAACGGAATTTAAAAAAAGTTGTAAGTGGCACATTATTTGAAATCACATTCCTAAAGAAATGACTTTCTTGTCTGTGAAGATGTTCCAAATAAAAGAAATAAAAGTCTGGTACTGAAATGAATATATCAGAACAAGAAAAACACAACTTTTTCTTTAGAAAAAACATGAACCTATAGCTACTATAAAGTAGATTGTTCATACTGAAATGTTTTTTTATCAGTATGATAATGTTTAAAGTGAGAAATGAAGTAGATTGAACGTATTCTACGATAGTAAATAAAAGAACTGATTTACAAGTGGTTGTGGTGGATCGTCATTTGGAACAACAATTATGGCGAGAAGGAAGTAGAGAAGTACATTAAATGTGTTGCATCAAACAGCTGATGGATTAAAAGAATCTTGTTAGATGTGTTAAATGTGCTGGTTCTTTACTTTAATTCAAGTACTGCATTGGCCAACACATTAAACTCCTTTATTTACGCATAGTCATCCAAATTCAAATCCAATAAATATTGAATTCTTTATTTATTGTTCACAACATCTCTTGTCAAACACACATTGTGATGTGGTTAGATATGAAATGTGAGTCAAACATTTTTGCTAAAACATAAATAAATCTTAAGTCTTAAATAATCTCTCACAGCCTCCGTTTTGTTTTCTTAACAATGGGAAACAAAATGGAGCAACCTTAACAGTCAGATGAATCATTTTTGACGCAAAGTAGTTTGTTGATAAGTAAATTCACTTCTCTTCTTCTGTGTCAGCTCCTCCAAAAACAGAAGACTTCAGATCTATTGGACAAGATGAGACCAGCATCACTCTGCAGTGGAATAAAGTGAACAACAGCTTCAGCTTTATTCTCCAGTTTAACGGTGCAGAGATCAACATCCCTGCAGCAAATGGAGATGGACCAGTAACTCACACAGTCTCATCTCTCACTGCTGCAACTAAATACACGTTCACTCTCTTCTCTGTGTTTGAGAACGTCAGAAGCAGTGGTGTAAACGTTACTGCAGTTACCGGTAATATATGTCACTTTCTATGCTTTGTATCTGCTTAGCTATCCATCATCCAGTGTAAAACTAAGGTATGTTCACACTGAAAGCGAAGATAATATTCGCCTCACTTTATTCGAGAGTTTGACCGCTGGACATTTTGAGTGTTCACACACAACATAAGCAAATAAACACAACCCACTACAGCTATATGAACCCTAAGTAAACATTTTGCTGTGATTTTATTGCAATAAAGGGATCAAACTGATGCTGAGATAACTACAATATGATGCAGATTTGTTAAACATATGAATTCATGCTTTGTCAGGTCTGTCAGCAGGACAGCAGCTTTTAAAATGTTTGTTTTCAGAATGGAGTTCGGTCAGGGCTATGCTATGCTAACTTGGTCACCGTAAAGTACAACAATAGCTGGAATAAAGTTACAGACACACATTGTCTGAGCTCACCAGGTAGTTCAACTTCCTCGCTTTCTTTTCTCCCAGCAATGTCAAGCTTTGTCCGGCTTATATATAAATATGAAGTAGTGGTCCAACAGAGCTCTGGGTGCCATCCGACGCTAACAACCACAGTGGAACCGGATGCGTATGTATAAACGCGCTCAACTCACTTCCCTGTAGCTGGCTGGTTCAATCAACCCCTCGACTCTGCGTTGTGAATGTGAAATTCTGAGTACGAGGCGTTTATCTCTCAATGCAGTCGTTTATTATCTGGAAAGGAACAGAATATGTACTGGTCAGTCATACAGTTGGCTCACTTCAGGCAGCTCACACACAGCACACTACAAAAGAACGGCAAGTTGTTTTAGCACTGATGCCAGCTAGTTTAGAAGATGCATTTTGTCGTTACTTAAACACTTTAGCGCTTTAAAAGTACAACAACCCACTCATAACTTGTCTTATCAACCTTTCCATAAGTTACAGTGCGCATGTGTTCATGTAGTTCATATTAACAGGCATAATACACAATATTTGTACACAATGCTGCGTTTAGCAACTCACCTTGCGCACGTCTCTCGTGAACTAACAACATTACAGGCGCATTAGTAGTATTTACCTACTATGTCTGAGAGAGGGCGCCCTGGTGCCAATAAATCCCCACAGATACATGGATAATAAATGAATAACTTAGAGCAAGTGGAATAATATATTACATAAACTCTGTTATACACGGAAGCTAGCTGCTGAGCAGCGCTAGTGAAAATGAATCAAGTTGTAATCCCAAAAACTAAAGTAAAAAGTTAATTTAATAAAAGCAGCAACTGGGGCAGCTGGGGCTCAGAAGGTAGAGCGGGTTGGCCGTTAATCGGAAGGTTGGCTCTTCAATCCCCGGCTCCCCCAGGCTGCATGTCAAAGTGTCCTTGGGCAATATACTGAACCCCGAATTGGCGGAATACACACAGTGTATGAATGTGTGTGAATAGTAAATGCAGATGTAGGCTAAAAGCGCTTTGAGTGGTCGAAAAGACATGAAAGGCGCTATACAAATACAGAGCATTTACATCTGAGCTCCTCCCGTGACTAAACGGCGTAGTTGTCAGAGCAAAACCCAGACCGACTACGGGTGTTTATTTGTCCAAAAGCTGCAGCGCTGCTCCCCATACACTTCCCTGTTCTTTAGTAGCTCTCCGTCGGCCAGCAGATTTAAAATCGCCCGCTCTGCCTGGCCCTCTCCACACAACACTCTGAAGCCGCCGGAGACATTTGGACAATCTCACCGCTGAGAGGCTTTTGCAACATCGCGTCAAGCGAATTTGAAGTTGAAAAATTTGAACTTGTATTTTTACTTTGTATGTAATCAAGCCGCCCAAAACGATCATGATCCAGAAAAAAAAACATCCTTAGTAGCACAAGCAAGTGTATTACTTGCTCTGTCCCTAACAGACAGCAACAGAAACAAAATGAACTATGTTTCACTGTCAGTGGAAACATTGTCACTTTTACTTACAGCAGTTTCTTATACATTTTTCACTGCTCTTTTTTTCTCAGCTCCTCCAGATGCAGAAAACTTCAGAGCAACTGCACAAGAAGGGACCAGCATCACTCTGCAGTGGAATAAAGTGAACAACAGCTTCAGCTTTATTCTCCAGGTTAACGGTGCAGAGATCGACATCCCTGCACCAGATGGACATGGACCAGTAACTTACACTGTGTCATCGCTCACTGCTGAAACTACATACACGTTCACTCTCTTCTCTGTGTTTGAGGATGTCAGAAGCAGTGGAGTAACCATAACTGCAGTCACAAGTAAGATGTTTGACTTTCATTAATGTGTATTTAACCAGGCATGACATTTTCATCTTCCAACTGATGAAACTACTGGACAGCTATTAGCACTTAGCAGTAGTGGTAGCTAAATGACTAAATGTAATAACTTTAGCTCATTATTCCATGTCATTTTTACTTGTTTTGCTTTTTGTATAAATCAAAAATGTGTTTCAATTTTGGTTATGATATATCATACAACTGAAGTTTGTCTTTGACTTTCAAAAGACATTAACAAATTATCATCTCACCTGAAAATATTATTTTTTTTCCATGTAAACAAACCCCATCTTTCCAAAACCTCTGACTCTGCGTTCTACAACAAAAGAGCCTTGTAAGTATATGCATCTGTTTCATTCATTACATGGTCTGATCCTTTGCCTTGAGTGTCCAACTCATAAGCGTATTTTCATCAGCGTGGTTGTAAAGTTTTTTTTGTCTCTTCTTTGTTTTTTATTATTTACTGTGTTTACTTCAACTGTTGCTCAAACAGAAACTGTTTATCCTGTTCAAATAAAACCAGGGAATAAATTAATTAAACAAATTTACAATTTTATAAATACACAAACAACTATAATTTCACAAATGTTAATATTATTGTGTACAGAAATAAAATGTGAGACTTTTTTTGATGTTTGTTTCATAAAGTTTTTTTTGTTACATATGTAAACACAATAACTAAAAGCATAAACGGATTCAAAGACAGTATTTATGGTTGTTATTTTTCAAATGATTTTGAAAATTGATCTTTATTAAAGGAATCAATTATCACGTGTATTATTTCATGTAACTTAGTGTGGATTTATGTCAACAGATTATGTTCTTGCCATGAACATAAACTTAGAGGCATCTACTCTGCTGTCAGACTCGGACTTGCTGAGTTTGTTGGAGGAGGTAAGACATTATATTCGCTGTCATGACTTGTTTTTTATTCACTTTCAAATCAAATAATCTACTAATTATTTTGTTCATTATTAAAAATTTTTCTGTGTGTGTTTTTTTTTTTAATAAAGGTCTTCAGACGATTCAGTTTGTCGCCACAGTTGTCCTTCAAAGTGTTGAGACGTGCGATCAGAACAAGATGAAATGCAGGAGAATAAATACGCAATACAAACTCTTTTTATTCAAGTTATTTAGACTTCACACTTTGAAATGGTTTCCTTGAAGCGAATCAAAAAAACTAATGAGAGGAATGACATTTTATCACATTCCCCTGAAATGTAATTTGTCCTAATTATTCTGTTTTGTATTTACATATACTAGTACTAGTACTCTACTGTTCTGAGGATAATTTGCTGTATGTATTGTTATTATAGCTTAAAGATTCCTTCCAGAGATGTTTTAAGACAAAGTATTCTTTCAATAATAGATAGAAATAATAGATGTGTAAATTTCTGATACGTTTTCCCAACAAATACTGTTCAATGAAATTGTTAAAAATCAGTTCCTTCTCTCACATGAATAAAATCCAGAATCTGTGAAAATGCAGATGTTTTTTATTTGGGAAGTTTAACTGCTGGACAGAAGAAGTCTCCTGCATATTGGACCTGAATTGGTTTATGCACTAGTTGTGAACTTAATGATATATTAGTGATATAAAATCATGCTGACACCTCAACATGTTAAACTCAGATAGGAGGCGAGTACGGACACTCTGCTTCTTCTTCTGCACAGTGAAGCTCAAACATTCAGGTAAACAATGTATTTAAACAATGTATGCCATCCAATTTTCACTATCCAAAGCCTTCAGGAAAATTTAAAGCAGGTCAGGAAAGCAAGGAGGTCTTCTCTGCTCTGTTTAATTCCATGGAGATAAGTCAGGCTGAGCTGGTGAAGGTGATCCAGAGGAAGCAGGCAGCAGTAGATTAGAGGGCACAGAGGCTCATTTCAGAGCTGGAGCAGGAAATCACTGAGCTGGAGGGACGGAGAAGGAAACACTTAGTTCCGCTCAGTCAGAGAGTTGTTTTCTATCAACAGCGCTGTTAATGCTCCATCTTCTGTTGGAGCAGTTGAGTAAGAGATTTGATATTTTCTGGTCAGACAGGAAGAAATCCACAGTAGAAACAGAGATGCCAAAAAGTATTTTAAAAAAGGAAATCCCAAACTGAAGAGAAGTTAGTTAGCTAGTTAGTAGATTTTATTATTTATTTGAACGATAATAACAAGTTGATCTTGTTACTACTTTTATGTAAATTTTAGACTAAGATCAGAGTCAACTATAATGGCTAGAGGGTCACCAGGACAGGCTTGAGCATCTGCCCCCCTTGATGTCCAAAGTGCCCTTCTGTCAAGGCAAAATTTCAGTATTTTGTTTGTGAAGGCCTGTCCAATCTAACTATTAGTAAAATACATGAACAATAATTTAGCCGTAAATAAAATGACTCAGCAGCAACTGTTCCCTGTAAGTTCTGTTAGCCCACAATGTTATAAAGCTAGAGTTCAGGATTCCCTACAGTCTCACGATAAGATCACAGGGGCCACGTAGATTTTGAATAATGACAATGTCCTACAAAGAGTTTACTATAACAGCTTTTCTGAATTATACTGTATAACAGAGAAGGAAAATCATTAAGGTTTACTCAGGAGCACCTTTTACAGAAGAAACAGAATTCTTGTTTGTTTAATAACAGTTTAATATCATTTGAAGGGCCATTTGTGCCATTTACAGCCACACCACACTGGGCACGCCCGATCTCATCTGATCTGGGAGACTAAGCTGACGCCTGGATTCTTACCCAAGAAGGAGTGCCCGGGTCCTGTGCCATGGACTTCCAGCTCGACAAGGACCTTTCCCTAAATGTCTACACTGGAATGAGCTCCTGCAAACACGGAGCATTAACAGCGCTGTTGATAGAAAACAACTCTCTGTCTGAGCGGAACTAAGTGTTACATCACACTCAGTAATGAAATACATGCATTTCATACAGGCTACATTTTAAATTCACAGATTGTTGTGTTCTATGAAAATAGCAATTCACAATGTATTAAGTTTACAGTATAAAGTTTGGGTCTACTTTTATGATGCATAAATTATTCCGTATTTATTGATGCTGTGACTGGGACATTTAGTTTGTCTTTTTTAGTCAGACCTTGTTGGTGCAGCAAGTGCATAAATAAACCAGCTACTTTATACACACACTTTATACTCAGACAGCTACAGTTACATTCAGAGGTTTTACTTATATTGTGCCTCTCTCATTATAACGCTGGCAAGTACAGCACCTTTAAATATGACCTCAGTAATAAACAAACAATTAAGTGAACACTTCTGAACAATAAAACTAAACATTTAGAATAATATTTCATTAAGTATTGTGTTTGCTTACATTCAAGTTGTTGTCTGTATTGTAAATACTGTTTTCAAGTTGCTGGTCTTCCAACAGTAGATGGCAGTCCTGAACAGGCATCTTAAATAGTTTCATTCATAAATAAGAAACCTGCTGGTAGGAATAATTGTATGTTAAGATGGATCAAAAAAGGATTGACTGGGCCTTTAGGTCTCATTTGTGATTTATTTATGTCACTGTTCAGCTCCTAATGTCTCCTCTGGGAGGATTTTTGTTAAAAAAAACAACAAAAAATGATAAACTTTCACAATTTTCAGTCAAAACCAAGAAGAGCCTTCAACATCTGTGAGTGAACATACATTTATTCACAGCTGGATTATCCAGCATCATGCTGTCGCTTATCAAAAAATCAGGATGAGACAACACATGGAGTAAAATGTATGATTGATTGACTGATTGACTGATTGATTGATTGATTGATTGAGTGAATTAATAGAATTAGTTGATTTATCTATTTAATTATACTGAGCACATTTGTGCTAGGATGATGGACCCTTTTGATTTATCCTTTATTTTTCCCTTCAGAGACTCATCTAGCATTATTTTGATTGTTCCATCATGATTTTTGTATCGTAGGGTGTAATTAAGATTAAGAACATACATTCAGTACTCTTTCATAAATCACTTGCTTTAAAACAGGAGTTTCAAATTCTGACACTGTGGGCTCTGACAAAATCAAAACAACTGTGCCCCCATTCTCCTCCCAAACAATCTTAATAACAATAATAGATAATAATAAAAAATGTTTATAGTTTCATTATGACATGGCGGTTAATGCTACAAAAACTAGATTTTTTTTACGCCAGCTTCAATGTTAACAAAATAGTTTGTGTTTTTTTTTTTTTTGTTGTAGAAACTAGCTGAGACTATAAATGCTGTTGTCCCTAATATTTACTTAAATAAACATTAAATAAAGAAATAGATGCAGTAGAACTCAAAAAGTGCTGTAAACATAGTTTGAGGTGTAAAATCAGTAGAGTTTCCCTTTAGGATAATACTTTTTCCAGACTTTACAGTCTTTAACTTAAACCAACCAATAACTACCGAGCGAATCATATAAACCAGCCAATCATAGCAGACCACCTGCACAATAACAGGTCCACAGAGATAGAGAGATCCAGCACATCATACATAACAGAAGTCCATATCAACACAATCCTGTTGTACATTGACAAAGTGTCCTATTAATGTAGAAATATACAAACTGTGCCCTCATGAAGGAGTTTAAGTAATTTCCATATAAAAACACAACAATATAAATACACCTACTTTAAAGGGGCTATATGTAAGTTTGTCAAAGAAATTACTTATTAATAAATGAAATTTTCATTGCCTTATTGTCAACGGGCTCAAAACTCACTTAGGAATGAAGCGCACGCCTGTTTTCTCCGTTGCTTGCATCAGCCACTATTCTGCTTTTAATGTGAGGTCTCGGGGTCGGACTCAGCTCTGTGCGCGCTCCCGAACCTCTCAGACTACACAGCAGCTAACGACATGCAGTCCACTCACACTACAGTAAAGTTACTTACTGCGGTCTAACAGTTATAAAGTGTGACACAATCTCCTTATAATATTCAGTCCAGCTCATTACTCGTTTCGTTATCATCCAATACATGTAGCTGTGCTGACATCGCTGAGCCTCCAGTGACAGATACACAGCTGGTAAAGTCAGTTACTGAAAGCAGCAGGCGAGCTCACAATGTAACACGTCGGATAAATGCAGTAAATGTACCATGATCAGCTAATGAGCATGGATTAGTTCAACCTGCAGCTGATAAAACTAGTACTGCAACGTTGCAGTGGGACTTTACCTGAGTGAGTTTCCACCATGTTGTGTGAATCTCCCTGCCTGTCTATAGCCGCTCTCACTTTGCCTTTTTCCGGGAATACTGTGCTGAATGAAAAGTACGGAGCCGGTGTTGATCTGCGTCTGAGACGGGAGCGTTCAAGTAACAGAGCCTGAACATGTCTGAGTGAAAAGCCACAGCCTGCGTGCTGGTGCTCCTGTGTTTATTGCAGGATTTCTGTATGAAAGCGGTTGTGTTTTGGATTATGCTCGCTCATGAGTTCAAGCGAGCACGTGTGTACGAGCACACGCCTGGTTGTAATCTTAAAACCGTACTGCCAGTGGCTGCTGGAAACTCCATAATGCCCCTTTAATGTAAAGTAGTTTTTGTTCAGTCTTGCAAACTACCGGAGTCTATAAATGCAAGTGGCACTGGTTAATGGTGTTGACTTGTCACTATAAAAATAAACATTAAATAAAAGTGTAAACAAAAAATCAGTGGAATTTCCCTTTAGGAGAATACTTTGTCTGAACAATAGGCTACAACATTTACATCAAATATAAGAGAATTTAACTTTGTAGCTCCTGCAAAACCAGGAGCGTTTCCCAGAAACTAACTTGTGAAGTCACCTGATAAATCTCTGGATGGAATAAAAAACAGTGCAAAACCAAGTACTACTGTAGCCAGAGCTTCTTAAAAGTGTTCCAGATGTTGTCACGTAGACATACACCCCTCCATACATGCCTCCAAACACAATCCTGTACATTCACACGCAGAACCTAAACAACAAAACAAGTCATGTGTTAGTACATTTCAAAACGACTGGTGAGCATTTTCTCTTCCCACTCTGGTTAACGTATGGTTAAGTTTAGCTAACTACACTATACTGTATCTACTTGATCGAGACTCTACAGTATGTGATACCCTGGCAGCAGCTGCTTCAAATAAATGGCAGGTTATTTAAGCCTTTAAAGAAGCTGCAGGGAAAGAAAATTTGAAATGTCACAAAGTGAAAGTTAACAGTGGTTCAGAAGCCTTTTTGTTCATAATTAGGAATTCAAAGACGTTTGTGTTTCTCAAGTTTTTCTCTAATGTTTCTGCTAATGCAGTATAATGAATAATGTGACACTGTCATCTGATGCGAAAAATGCTTTTCTACGTTTGAAGAAACTCCCCACATCCATCATTTGTCTTATGACCAATAGGTCCACTCCCCCAATTAACTTTTGAGCTCCATCTTTATGTAACATTAAGCCCCCCACATACTTGCTTTTTAACACATGGGCGTAGACAGGCGTGGGTGACACAAACGGCATTGTTCACATACTTGCCTGCGTACTTTGCGTGTACCTGGAGGATTAAATGTGAATCCACTAGGGGGCAGATCAGGGCCGGATCATTCCTCTGAATTTGCACATCGTAAATAAACCAAACAATGCAAATCTCGAGGAGGTTGAGATTTTAATGAGACATCATAATGATCTTGGTAATTGCGGACTAGCTCCAGGTGTTTTATTGTAAACATCTCGCCATAAATCTTTTTAAAGTCTGCTGCTGACCTTCTTCTTTTGCCACCAGGGCTGGTGTGTGGAACAGGAGATCGCAGCTGACCTCCCCCCACGTTCATGTGATGAATAGCATCTCGCAGACGCGTAGCGTTAATTTCTGGGGACGTGCACAACCTACGCTTCAAAGGAACGCAGGATAAGCGTGGCAGCCATCTTGCGTACGCGTTTGCATTGTTAAAAGCAAGTATGTCCAGGGCTTTAGAGATTTTGTTTCTCTACAAACACTTTCAAATGCAAATTTAAAATGGGAAACTTGAGGAGAGATTAATGACTTACCGGTGACACAGTTCACTCCACCTACTGTGCTAATGACAAAGCAAAAAATGGCAATGAGGATGACAATCACAGTGATAATGCCAGCGTAACTGCCTATGCTACTGTCCTGACCTGAAAGAGAAGAGGAAAGATCTCACAGCACAGTCAAACCCGATGAGAGAAGAGAGGTTTTGATAATGTTAGTGAGCTTAACACAGCGAGTGCAGCGAATGATGCAGCAAAGGCTTTTTTCCTGTGGGTCCACATTTTACACCTTAGTGAGGATGTTAGCACTTGTTAACATTCAGAAAACAAATCTCTACTCAGCCAAACTTCAGCCTCACAAAGCTGCAAGTATGGCTGTATCTAGGCTTTAGTCCTAAACATTCTGATAAGATATTTAAAAAGTAAAGTTTTCTCTGCTATGACTTTCTCTGTATTTAACCAGATCTTTGTCTTTCTTAATTTTAGCTTCTTACTTACTGAAAGCTGCGTGTTGCTCTTGAGTGTTGTTTGTATTTTCTGCTGAAAAATAGAAATAAATATTAAAACACTTTATTTTCTAACACGTTTTCCTACTTATCTGCTTTACAGCTGCTGTTTGATACTGGTGAAATTTACACTGTAGAATCTGAATCCTGATCTTCAGTGAACTTACCAACAGTGAGGTTAACATAACAACTCTTGTGCACTTTTTCAGTGTGAAAGGAGCATCTGTATCTTCCAGCGTCAGAGAGCTGTACTGAGGAGAGTTTCAGTGACAGGTTTCCTTTGGTCAGACCCTCATGAGAGAGAGATGTTCTTCCTTCAAAGTGCTCCTTCTGCTCTGCAGGACTGTCTTTTCCGTCTTGATGCAGGTGTACAAACTGGTTATGGCTCCCACGACTCCACTCCACTGTCATATCTGTTGCATCCAGTGGGGGTTCAAGGTGGCACTGCAGAATCACGTCCTCACTGACTGCAGCTTCCACTGGATCAGAAGAGCAAACCACCTCTGGGTCTGTTGAAGAAGCAGCATTAGACCAGATACAGACCTTTTACACTCAGCTACAACAAAGTCAGCAACAGAGTTAGGCTACAAGAACAACAGGTTCCTGATTTCTGGGTTTTTGATAAATGCATTTCCATCCATCCACCCTGACCTCCTCCCTGTATGTGGACTTTTGCTCCCGTCATTATAACTACGGCCACTAGTGGGCGCTCTAACATAAACAGATTTGGTTTTAAACTTGATTTAAGTCGAAGTAAAAATAAAAGGTGTATTTATTCTTAACTAATTCTTAATTAAAAAGTTACTGTTAAATTAATTTTGTCGTCTTGTCAAACAGGTTGTTGTTGCTCTTGGGGAAACTGATGTATGACCTCTAGCATTTCTAAAATCATCAACTGATTATCAGACATAAGCCTACAGTAAATTTCAGCCAATAACTTTTCTCAGGCATACCAGAGTGAGGGTTCGCGTTATGTGTTGTCTTTAGTTAGGGTGATCATATTTTGGTTTTCAAAACAAAGGCGACAGTAGGGGCAGGAGGAGGGAGACAGTGTGCTGAAGGATGGAGCTGGTGGGGAGTGAAGTAATTGGTGTCACCATTGGCAATGTATAGGCTAATAAAAAGTTTAATGTTAGTATAGTAGCATGATGAGCTATAGTGAAGGACTATCGGCTCACATGACCGACCAATGGTGACGTATGAGAAGGTGGGACCTAAAGAGAAAGGTTAAAGCAATGCAAAAACGCACACAATGACTGCAGACTGTAGGGGGAAAAAGTGAAGCCCGGACAATTTGGGCAATTTAGAAATCCCGGACGGACGCATTTTTTTTAAGTCCCATAAAGAGGACATGTCAGGGAAACAGGATGTATGGCCCACCCATACAGAAATAGCAACATATTTGTAAACAATTACTGAATCACTGCTTCCTCTTCTGATCCATATCTCTGTGGACTTGAAAGTGTTCTTTGTTCCTTTTCTGTCCTATAGGTCAAAATGATCCGGGTATAAAATCAAATGACCAACTATAATCAATTTCAGTTTCAACGCCCCTGAATAATAATATCGAGGATGGTCAAGGCTGTTGATAAGTAGCCTATTTTATCAATATGAATTATGTAACGGTCTGTTAATACACTACACAAAAGTCACAGGTCTTACTGAAAACAATTATCGGTCACGTCAAGTTCTGTTAAGCAAAGTAAAGTTTCCATGAATAGGCTTCTAGCTATGACTGTAACTTCCTGTTTTTTCCTCTTTTTTTTTTGAATGACGTGTTGTGTTTATTGTTCCATGTGCCGTGGTCAGATCACATAAAAGATTAGTTAGTACTTTAACACTTCCTGAAGTTTTAAATGTCAAAGTTTTACAGTTTAGAAGCTAGTGAAGTTTAAACGTCAAGAGTCACTGTCGGGACGATTGAACTGTTTCAATCACACGCAGCCATTCTACCTTATTCAGATACGGCGGGGCAGAGTCCACTAGACTGCAGGCTGGACCGGGATGCTCACACATACCTCACGGCCAAATAACAGGATCTTCACTGTAGACCAGGAAAACAGGTTGCAGATGTACATAAAAAGGGCAGCCGATACGTACCTCTTGAGGCCAAGGCAGCTTGAGTGAGGAGAAAAACAAGGACTCCGCATATCTCCTTCATGTTCAATAAACTTATGATGTGTAGGCTACGACGATTTCGTCCTTTCTGGCCAAGCACTGGCACCGTAACTGCAGGAATAGACGTTCCTCAAAATCCAAATGACAGCTAACTTCAGGGCTTGTTTGCGACTTCTAAATTACAAAATTGTAGTCAGTAGCTATATTTAAATATAAATATTGCTGGTCAGTATCTAGTCAATTTATTAACACAAACTGTCAATACTAATAGAAGAGAAGACTCCAGATCCTGTCCAACAGGAATCCAGCTCACCGCTGAAGTCTGCTGGTCAACGGGATATTTTCAGGTATGACCATTTAAAGGGCGAGCATATTAACGGTGATTAATTAGCCAATATGCGAAAGTAATACAGAAAAAATGCCTGTAAAAATGACATTTTCCACACTGTAAGATGTGAATGGATGAAAACGGCCTGTAGGTGCGGTAGGGCCTTTTCTGACCCGTGTATGGGGCTGATAACCACTGATAACGCCCCTTCTGTGTGCCCACACAGGATCTTACTCAGCGTTTCAACATCCCCACAATAACAGTGTGCGATCATGTGTACAAGTTGGTTTCGTTTCTACAAGGCCACGCATTGTATAAAGTATGCCAGACACATAACGGCACAGCTGTTGCACTCAGTTTATCAGCTGGAATAAATATTATCACTGAATCTATCAGTTCATATATTATACGTAATAATGCATATTCTGCTGTGTGTTTTTATTAGTTGAGTGGCCTACAATAATTAACTTAGCCTACTTCAGCAGCACAGACTAACAAACAAATTTCATCAGCTGGTGTGAAAAATTATATAGATTTCTTGGCGGTGTAACAGATGTGACAGTGGTGATTTCTGGCTTTATTTTGGTCCTAACAGGACAGTATGCTAATTCTTGGTTAACCATCCCAGTTAAACAATAAAACACAGATAGTGATAGATTGAGTACAAGGAGAAAGTTTAGGAACAATGGCATGTTATACCTCTTTGTCCTCTGGGGACGATAGTTGCCTGAAAGGACCTGAAAATAACTCTGCCTACTTAAACTTTTTAGTTAATTCAATCCTTAGCCCAGGGGCTGGGAAATGAATTGTATAACACAGGATAATATTTCTGTACCATATTATTTAAAATAAATTATATAAGAAGGTGTTTGGGACGTGGCATCAGTTAAAGTCTAAACACCTACAGGAATGCATAAATGAGCAGAAAGGAGTGAAGTTAAGAGCACTGCAAATTAACTTTTCTCATGATTCTTTTAGCTTTTCAACATAGTTTCTATGACATGGTAATAACCTACTCAAAATTGAAGAGGCGACAACTTAATACGGATTGTTGAACTAAACAGAACAACAAAAACAGCTTTTAATGAAAAATACATTCTTTGTTCACAAGGTTTGAATTGGGCTCTCCTCTTTTCTCTGGTGTCTGGCAATGTTATCAGTTTGCACATCAGCACGAATAAAGGGGTTCTTTACTTTGATGTTTTGAGGTAACTTGCAGGGTGAGGTCGATTACCATGGTTACTTGCCCATTTGGTGTTCCTGTGGAGTATCCTGCGGTGACACCTTCGCGGTGAGAGTGGTCGGATGGTCCCAGAATAAACAATTTTAAGTCTGGCATGTCTGTTTGTCTGTGCAGGGGTCCTTATCCACACACCAAAGGCTGTGTCCTTCCTTTGCATGTCACAAAGGCCCTTTTGTGAAATAACTGATCTCACCTTCTCTTAATGTGAAATATGTGTGCTCACTGGTTGTTCACTACAGAGTCACTGTAATTCATTGATGAATTAAGGATGATGAGCCCTTTTGATTTTATAATTTATTTTATTTATTTAATCCAGAGAGTCATCTAGCATTATTTGGATTGTTCCATCATGACTTTTGCATTGCAGGGTGTAATTAACATTCACATACATACAGTACTCTTTCAAAAAGCTCTTTAAAGCAGGGGTTTCAAAATCAGATACTGCGGGCTCTGAAAAAGTTAAAACAACTGTGCCCCAGTCTCCCCCTCAAAAATCTTAATAATAATAATTACATTACAGTTATTCATTTAGCTGACGCTTTTATACAAAGTAACTTATAATTGCTATATAAGTCAGAGGTCGCACGCCTCTGGAGCAACTAGGGGTTAAGTGTCTTGCTCAGGGACACAATGGTGTCTCACAGTGGATTTGAACGCAGTTCTCTCACACAAAAGGCATGCGTCTTATCCACTGCTCCATCACCACATATAGTAACACATGTTTATAGTTTCAGTATGACATGGCAGTTAATATCCAGATGTTACAAAAGCTAGATTTTACTTACTCTAACGCTCTGTTAGAGCGGCCAAGTAGACTTAATAAAATTACCTGAGACTTTAGTGTGCATTCTGGGTATTTATGATCAACGTGCATGTTTGACTGGAGCGTTCCCCAGAAACTAACTTGTGAAATCACCTGATACAAATCTTAGGATGGAATAAAAAACAGTGCAAAACCAAATGCTACTGTAGTCAGATCTTCTCATAAGTGTTCCAGATGTTGTCACGTAGACATACACGCCCTCATACATGCCTCCACACACAGTCCCAGACATTCGCACGCAGAACCTAAACAACAAAACAAGTCACGTGTTAGTACATTTCAAAATGACTGGTGAGCATTTTCTCTTCCCACTCTAGTTAACGTATGGTTAAGTTTAGCTGATTACACTATATCTACTTGATCGAGACTCTGCAGTATGTGATACCCCGGCAGCAGCTGCTTCAAATAAATGGCAGGTTATTTAAACCTTTAAAGAAGCTGCAGGGGAAAAAATTTGAAATGTCACAAAGTGAAAGTTAACAGTGGTTCAGAAGCCTTTTTGTTTATAATAAGGAATTCAAAGATGTTTGTGTTTCTCAGGTTTGCTAATGCTTCTGCCAACAAGGAACATTACTTGAAATCACAAAAAAGAAGCAACATTCGTTCAGTAGAGTCATTTTGTTCCAGCTAATGCAGTATAATAAATAATGTGACACTTCATACGATGTGAAAAATGCTTTTCTAAGTTTGAAGAAACACTCCCCCAATTTACTTTTGTGCTCCCTCTTTATGTAGCATTTGAGAATTTGTTTCTCTGATGAGGAACATTGTGGTTATTAAAACTTTCAAATAGAAATTTAATATGGGAAACTTGAGAAGAGATTCATGACTTACAGACGACACCCGTTCCTCCACAGACTGTGCCAATGACAAAGCAAATGAGGACAATGAGGATGACAACCATAGCGATAATGCCAGCATAACTGCTTACACCAATGTTGTGACCTGAAAGAGAAGACGGGAGAGAAGAGGTTTTGATAACGTTGAGAGAGCAAGTATGGCTGTATCTAGGCTTTATTCCTATATATATATATATATAGATATTTAAAAAGTAAAGTTTTCTCTGCTATGACTTTTTCTGTATTTAACCAGATCTTTGTCTTTCTTAATTTTAGCTTCTTACTTACTGAAAGCTCTGTGTTGTTCTTCTGTGTTGTTTTTATTTTCTGCTGAAAAATAGAAATAAATATTAAAACACTTTATTTTCTAATATGTTTTCCTACTTATCTGCTTTACAGCTGCTGTTTGATACTGGTGAAATTTACACTGTAGAATCTGAATCCTGATCTTCAGTGAACTTACCAACAGTGAGGTTAACATAACAACTCTTGTGCACTTTTTCAGTGTGAAAGGAGCATCTGTATCTTCCAGCGTCAGAGAGCTGTACTGAGGAGAGTTTCAGAGACAGGTTTCCTTTGGTCAGACCCTCATGAGAGAGAGACGTTCTTCCTTCAAAGTGCTCCTTCTGCTCTGCAGGACTGTCTTTTCCGTCTTGATGCAGGTGTACAAACTGGTTATGGCTCCCACGACTCCACTTCACTGTCATATCTGTTGCATCCAGTGGGGGTTCAAGGTGGCACTGCAGAATCACGTCCTCAATGACTGCAGCTTCCACTGGATCATAAGAGCAAACCACCTCTGGGTCTGTTGAAGAAGCAGCATTAGACCAGATACAGACCTTTTACACTCAGCTACAACAAAGTCAGCAACAGAGGCTAAAGAACAGAGATGAATGACCTGCATTTCCATCCATCCAACTTGACCTATGAGGACTCACTTTTGCTCCAAAAATAACTACGGCCCCTAGTAGGCGCTCTAAAATAAACAGATTTGGTTTTGTGGCAATGATTCTGTCAACAGTGTCCTCTGTTATTTTCTGGTATTTTGTTAATATAAGACAATTCTTTAGAGTTACTCTCTTTAAGTCAAAACTTAAATTGAGTCAAAGTAAAATCAAGAGGTTTATTTTTTCTCCACCAGAATAAAACTGACTCTTTGTTGAAACAGCTTTTAGAACAGTTACTGTAAATTAATTTTGTTGTAAAAAGAGAACATGTCCGGGAAACAGGACGTATGGCCTCACCCATCCATCCAGAGATTGCAACATATTTGTAAACTGCACTGATTCACTGCTTCCGCTCACGATCGATATCTCTGTAGACTTGAAAAGTGTTCTTTGTTCCTTTTCTGTAGGTCTCGGTTGAAAAGGGCTCAAATGTAAATTACATTACCGGTCAAAATAAATGATCCGGGTATAAAATCAAATGACCAAACTAAGCTGTTGATAAGTAGCCTACTTTATCAAATGAATTATGTAACGGTCTGTTTATACACTACACATCAAAACAACATAAATCACAGGTCTTATTGAAAACTATTATCGGTCACGTCAAGTTCTGTCAAGCAAAGTAAAGTTCAGTTTCCATGAAAAGGCTATGACTGTAACTGTCTGTTAATACATATTATTCACGTACCTCTAGAGGCCAAGGCAGCTTGACTGAGGAGAAAAACAAGGACTCCGAATCTCTCCTTCATGTTCAATCAACTTGTATTGTATGTATTGCTGGGACACGAGGATTTCTTCGTCCTCTCTGGACAAGCACTGCCACCGTAACTGACAGCTGACTTGACTGCAGACAGCCCCCCTGACTGTGTGCCCACTCATACTCAAGTGAACCAGAACAAACAAACTCTGCGATGAGTCAAACAGCTGTGATCTTTACATCTTATTCACCACATTACAAAACGGACAGGCATGAGTTTTTGGTGTGGCAACTTTTGATTTATTTCAAAAACTCTTTTGAATCCTCTTTAAAAAATCGTACTGAAGCTGGAATAAATATTATCACTGAACATATCAATTCATGTAATAATGAATTTCACTTGGTAAAATGGTACAATATTCAGCTTACAGCAGCACAGACTGGAGACTAACTGACTTATTTCTTCAGATGGTGTGAAAGATGGTGTAACAAATGTGGTGATTTCTGACTTTATTCTGGTCCTAACCAGACAATAATTGTTGGTTAACCGTCCCAGCTCAATAATAAGTTGGCTATCATATTTATAAACCGCTGGTTTTTAATAGTTATTTTTTCACATCAGGGCTCTGTTCATTTGGTTTTTAGGCAGTAGTCTATAGGAAAGGAAAGGAAGGATTGCCAAAATATTTTCTACACACATTCATGTTCATCCTTACGTCCTCTTAAGTCTAGGGGAAGAAGGAAAGTATCAATTATGAATGAAATCAAGGCAAAATAAACATGGAAACAGATAATGTGCAAACAAAAAAAAATAAGTTATTTATTAACAATTAACAAAAATACAAATAGAAGCATACGGTGTAGAACACAGAACGACTTTCTTATAAGAAGAAAGCAAATCGTTAGCTCCAAACTGCCCTCTGAGTGGAGACATATACATCCTCAGTGCTGCAGAGGGGGAAAGGCAACATCTGGAGGAGCACCGCAGACAAAGAGAGAGAGTGCACAGAAAAGCACAAGACATACGGCTCTAACTGCTGTTTTGTACTTGTGAACATAAAACTCAGATACAAAAACTTTTTCAGTTTTTCAGTGAGAGCTAAGCATTAAACCTCAGAAGAATCATGTCATACTACCTCAGATAGAAGATAAACAAATACAGCATGTTAACAGGAAGATAAAAACATATTTAATAGCCTTCACGGTCATATTGGCCAGCATATATGGTAGATGTTGTTCTTCATTCCAGTTCAAGCTGAGCATGAGGTCTCATATAAGCATCACCTTGAGCTGCAGGAAACCAGAGCAGAGAATGTCTTCAGTGGACTTAATTTTATCAGTCAATTTCATGGTTTAAATTTCACAAACACTGGTTACATTTCCTATCACACCTGTCAGTCACCTCTCCTGAGGCTCAGGTGGTGTGTCAGTGTTCAGTGAACACAGAGCTTTGTTGTTGTTTCACTTCCTATTCCAACCTGAGGTCTTTATAATGAAATGAGATTTATGGGTAATCTGGCTCACTGTGAGCTTGACTCCCTACAACCACATTTTGCTGTGGGTATTGAAGTTCTCACATCATTCTGCTGGTGACTTGTGATTAAAACCTTCACCTCTCTCTCATAAACTCGCTTGGATTTGAAAGCCCAGAGTTAACAGCCAGTGATTGCACTTATCCAGGATCACCAATGTTCAGTGAAACCAGGAAACCCAAAGAGAGCCAGACTAAGCTGAACCTGCTTCGTGATACCTAAGTCACTTCTGGCCATGCCCACGTGACTGCAAACAGCAAACTACATGCAAAGTATTGTTGACGAGTCTAAAAGAAAAAAAGATTTTCTGGAGAATTTGAATTCAAGATTTGTTTCTGAAATTTAAAATAAGGTGCAATTTATCTTTTTAGGCCCCAAGCTTGAATGCATGACTATATGTTCTGAAAGTTTTTTGAAACTTTTAGGTGACATAAAAGTGAAAAACCTACCTAGTTATATTTATAGTGAATGAGGTTATTTAACTAGCCAAAGTAAATGATTTCACCACTAGTGTCTTTATATTCATATCAATTCAAATGTGTTTTTGTGTCTGTATCAGCTATCGTTTGGCCCTGACCTCTGACCTTTGTGGATGAGGCCGTCAGTGTTATTATTAGGATGTTATTAGGATTTTCAGAGGTGTTCTTACCTTGACCCTTCCTTCTGTACACTATGAGTACGAGAACAGAAAGGATTAACAGCAGGATGACCAGCAATGGTATCAGCCAGTGCAGGTACGTGGCCAGAGGAGGAGTGGTAGAAACATCTGGAGGTAGAATTTTCACAATTAGAAAATCCATTACACAGGGATGTATGAATATTCACAAATGAGCATAAAAAGAAGGCAGTAAGGACGTAGCAGTAATAATTATTAAATTATATATATATAATATATTATATATAAATTAAGTAAATTCAAACAACAAGTAGAAATTTGTGGAGACAAATAATTAGTTCTGGGGGTTGAATCTACTCTCAAAAGACTGCTACTATCTGCAAAGTGTGAGTCATGTGACCAATGGAGACAGCAGAAGGCGTCAGTAGGCTACTCTTTGGTTGCCTTGTTAGCTTGTCGTACCATTAGAATATAATCAAGAGTTAAGAACAAATGTAAAATAATTTGTCAAACTATAGAGGAAAGGCAAAAACGTGGTAAAGAGACATAAAAGAGAAGTAACTGAAGAGTTGAAGTAAGCCAACCTTTATCCAAAATACATAGTTTACACTTATAATATGAATACAAAACAACTTTTTGAGATTTTAGAAACCTTTCTCTCTGGCATTTTTGTTTTAACGTACACTGCACAATACATTTATTGCACCGGATACAGCTTAAAGCTAATTTCCATATATGGCACTGACATTATTAATTACAGAAAATAAAAAATTGCAACAGTTTGGAACAAAGTCTTTCAGTGTGACGTGTGTTGTTCAGACAGCGTGACAAAGCATAGTTATTTTACACAAGAGGTACCCTTCAGCGTCTGTATGAAACGCCGCTGTTTGCTAATGCGTTACAACACTGAGGAGGCTAACCCTACCTGCTTTCTACATCAGCTCTCCACATACAAATGTCTAATACTAAACACGGGAGATGGCATCCCACCAAACACATACTGTATGTAGAGAGCAGAACATCACGTCACCTCTCACAGACAGCCAGCTCTGCGGTGACTCTCCTTTTGTGGGGTGTTTACACTTGTAGAAGCCTTCATCAGACTTGGACACCGCGGGGAGGATCATCGTCCCTGCAGTCTCATTTCCGATGAAAACACCATTTCTGTAAAACGTGGTAGGGAAATCTGATTTAGATTCATCTTTCTCTTTCTTGAATGAACAGTGAAGTTTAACATTTTCTCCCTCTGTCACACGAAGTGCAGGGCTGTCCAGGATCACAGCACCAGCTGAAATAAAGAAAAAATATTATTCAGTAGATTATAAAAACAGCAGACACAAAAAGATAAATAAAAACAAAGCTTGATGCACATTAGGTATTACCTGTCACTGTGATGTTGACAGTGTTACTTTTCTCCCCCTTCTCAGACTGACACCAGTACACTCCGGTATCTGATGGGACAGCACGCTTTATGGTGCAGGAGGACTCATTAGGGATCCTGCAGCCAACCTTGCACATTTGAAACGCCCCAGAGGAGGTGTTTCTTCTTACTAACCAGCCGCGGGAGTTTGCCGGTGTCGCACAGCTCAGAGCGATACGGTCATGCTGGAAGAACTGAGATCTGTTGGGAGTGATGCTCAGTGTGGCTGCAGAGAGGGCGGAAAAACAGGAAACAAGAGCAAATGGATTTAAATTCTTTCTGTGCACACAGCTGATCATATACAGGCACTGCTGTGGTTAATTGTTAATTCAGTGGTAAAAGTAAAGCTACATCAATCAAGATAGTTACTGCGTGTAATAATGCTGCATTCACATACTCCTCGGATGGGAAGTCATTCATCATGTTCATGAGCTTTAAGTCATAACGTGGAAACACAGTTTTTGTATAGCACCTAAGTGACGGGTTGTTACGTGTGTGTTGCTAAACAGTTTGAGGCTTATTGATTTTTATCTCAGATGGGTTGCTGCTCCAATAGGCTACATTCCCTAAAACCACAAAAATATTGCGTTTTCGCATTTGGCATCCAAGTGAATTTCCCCCACCCTGTTTTGTTTTAGATTTTTCCAACACCACATGAATGCAGGGTAACTGCAGCTGTACACACTTCATAAAAAGCCCAATGCATTCTCCTCTCAGTACGTCATTACCGACACTTTCAGACAGTAGTACAAAGCGTAATTATGTGACGCTAAAGGTACCCTTCAGCATCCGTATGAAACTCCACAGTTTGCTAGTGCATTGCAACACTGAGGAGGCTAACCCTACCTGCTAGCCATGAGGCCGATTTGCACAGTCACTTACTTACGTTTAGTCTGGTTCCATTAGAAATAATGGTAAAATGACCCTACTTCTCACCTGAATAATGACCTCAGTAAATACTTTCATATCAATTGCTAGTTTCTTTAATACAACACGATGTTCATTTAGTAAATTATGGTCCCATTTAGAGGAAAATAGACAATAAAGCAGAGTATGTGTCAGGGCGGGATTACAAATTAAGGTCGTTATCACGTCGACCTGTCAATTAGGCTAGAGTGACTCATGCCCACGGCACTGAGTAAACCAGCACCATTGAAAAAGCTTATTAGGAGTCGGCTCTTCATTTTCTCTGGTGAGTACATTTAGTTTTAAGACTGTTGTTCGCTAGACAAGGGGTTTTCAAAGTGTGAGGCGGGCCTCCCTAGGGGGACTGCAAACAGTTTCAATGGAGACTCCGTGAATTGAAGTGAAACAATATTACATTACTTATTGCATTAGTTATCATAAGGAGTTCATATAGAAAAGAGATACAGTAGGTTTTGGGAACTATTTCCCCCCCATCACAGTCAGAAACTAATAAATGCCTCTGGACAGACAAAAGTATATGGTGTAGTCAGAAGTTATGTCAAACAAAAATATTAGGCAATTTTGGCTCAAATGTGTCTATGGGATCAAATAATATAATCATGATCACATAGGCATCCTGGAGCGAAACTTAACTAGTAAACTAAAGATGTGGTGGTGGGGGGGTGCCATTTCTCAAACTTTGTCTGAGGGGAGGCGCGCAGTCTCAGACTTTGAAAACCACTGTGCTAGACAAAACCGTCAGCCCTGTTAAAATGACGGTTAACGTGAATTACAGATGCACCTAGCAAAGCGTGCAAACCTAGTTCCTGGAGCAAGTGGAGGCCGAGAGTGAGCAGGAGTTTTCCATCCTGTGAAAATCTATGGACATTTTACCATGCCACAATTTAATGTTTTTGGTTTGCAGTGAGAATTGTAGGTTGATTTATGAGCAAGCTATGACTGTAAGGAAAAGACAAGTGAAAGTTAAGTGCTCAAGTGGTTGGTAGAACAGAGGAAAAGTGGAGTCAAAGAGCAGGAGGAAAATTTTTTTTAAAAAGTGAGAGAAGGCTACTTACTGAGCACTAAGGTGATTGTTGTGATCTCCATCTTGTGTCAGTGTCGTGGGTTTTCCTCTGACAAGTTTCATCAGGCAGTAAAACCACATCCGGACCCAACAGGAAATCATGCAGAATTTTTCTATGACTCCTCCTGCTCAGCCTAAAGCAGCTGTCTGACACATGGTCTAATTTTCTCATTCACAGACCATATCAAACACAGATGTTTAGCATTAATTTGCAATATTATCTGTTTAATAATTATTGTGCAATATTGTCTTCTGCTATTTATTCACTAGTCCTTTCTGGTTCACCATAACAATTCTCTAATAATGGAAATATTGTACATACCCACACTCCTTTATATTTTTCTTATATTTTACATTTATACTGTTATATTTATATACTATTTATCTACTTATTACTATTTCTATTCCTTATGCCTTGACCAATGTGCCATTGTGACAAAGAACTTCCCCTCTGGGATCAAAAAAGTATTTTTGATTCTGATTCATTTGCAGATGTTTTTAGAAACATCGAAATCCCAGTTAGATATTACTCAAACATTATCTTGAACAGGACCGCTTTTATGATCTGTCATCAATGTATGGAGGGAGACGGCGATCTTTGGACATCAACGTGGATTCCTCCTCAGCACAGAATAAAATCTAAATCTAAATCTTTTTTATCACACTGTTCAAATCAAACTAATCTATAGGAAGCTTTAACTGATCAATGAACAATCATCCGTCATGTTGTGATTAGTCGTGCTCATGGGACATTTCTATCATAGTTGATCAGGCTGGAGATGATGTGAATATTTCTGAGTGAGGATGCAGCTGAAACGACTAAATGTAGTTTAAAAGTGATTTTTTTTCTATATTTGTGTGATTATATTCTGGTCCTAACCTGACAATATTGAAAGGATGGATTGCCAAGAGATTTTCTACAGACATTCATGCTCACTTATAAGTCAAACATCTGACTCTTCGTCTCTCTCCAGCAGCAGATTGAAGCTGTCGTAAAATAAGATATAACTTTATTAATCCCGTATAGGGGAAATTTTGGAAAGGGAGGGGGAAGGGGATATTTGTTCTCTGCGTTTAACCTATCCTATTTAGGAGCAGTGGTCTGCCATCATACGGTGGGCTCAGGGGACACCTTCGGCATAGGTTGTGCTGGATTCAATCCGGCAACCCACCGGTTTCCAAGCCAAGACTGAGCTAATGCCGCCCTGTAACTAGTCAACTTTCTACTGGAAACAAACCTTCATTCAGACATTCACAGTTTTAAGAAGATTAATCTGATTGACTTTGGTGATCCAAACACTTTTCTTGTCTAACACCACCATGACTTTAACATTTGTGGTTTTGAGTAAATGTCTCAACAACTAATTGGACGGAAAATTGGTGAACAAATTTATTTCCCAAACAATAATAATTGTAATAACTCTCATAATCCTGTGACTTTTAATCTAATACTTTGGTTTAAGACTAAATGTCTGCAAAACTGACATTCCTCTGAGCCTCAACCGTGTTAATAATTAGCTGAAGGTGACATGTTAACCAGCTAATTTAATTAACAACATTGTTTGTCCGCCTTCACAGGGCTGTTATTGTGGCTGTTATAAAATGTCCTCTGTGAGGATGTTGACAAGTTATCAAGTAAAGTCATAAATAAAAATGCAGCCACATTGGTCTGTGCTGCACAGGTTTGCATAAATGGTTGATAAAGCTCCAAAATGTTCATGTTGTCCAGATGAAATCTGGTTGAAATCAGCCCTATATAAGGGATCTTCATTACTGAAACACAATTCAAAACAACTATTCAAAAAACAAGTCTATTTATTTATTTTTAGTTGTTACATACAAACATTGTCACATAAGAATAAGAAATGTAAAAATATAAAATATAATGCTTGTTGAGAATTTTACATTAGTCATGGTAAGTGGTTCAGTATATAGCCTTGTATTGACCAGCATATATTGTATCTCCTCCTCTTCAGTCCAGCACCAGATGATTAGAAGCTCATATTTTTGCATCAGCTCGAGCTGCAGGAAAACCAGAACAGAGAAAGTCTTAAGTGGAGTCATTTTACGAGCCTTTCAAGTTTAAATTTCACCACCATTGGTTAAATTCCCTGCTTCCTTTCTACCACTGTTGCTGTGACAACCAGCTCTGTTGCTGCTGACTTCACCTAGTTTATCACGAAGCGAGGTTTGTGGGTAGAAAAACAATTTCTGAAGCAACTGTGATGTGAATGCTGTCTGTTGAAGGGCTTGGGCTAAACTGAATTGCTGGCTTAAAAAATTGAATAGTACAAATGTATGAAAAGCTCACAATAGGCTCTTCTTTCTGGTTTTCTGGTCTCTCAAGATCAACATTTTATTGAGGTCACCGTGGCAACCGATTCTGTATGGCTCGAGGACGTCAAATCAGAAAAACAAAAGTGTCTCTCTGTTTTTTAATTTGTTAGTGTTAGCTGGTTAAAAATAATTTGGCTGCTGGGGGGAAATTGCTGACCGTGGTTTTGATCAAAAGCTGGTTTGTCCGGGCCCAGGGAAAATATTTGCTCCTGGGCCCAGCATATCTACTTTGCACTGCTGAGACAGACAGATCGATATATTCTGTTAATATCAAGATTTTCAAAGGTGTTCTTACCTCGAGCCCACTTTCGGTACATGTATATGCATATTATGAGTATGGCAGTGTAGAGGAGGAACAGCAGGATGAAACACACCAGCCTGGGCAAAGACATCAGTGGAGGAGGAGGAGGAGGAGGAGGGGTACTGACACCTGGAGGCTGAGCTGTGACGAAGAAAACAACTGTCAGAGTTTAAAATATGAAACATTTTCATCCTTATTACACAGAACTTTTAAGAACAGCGAACAAAAACTAAATGATACCATTATACTTGTACACCATACTGAATCTCAAATGTTGTTCCTGGACCTTATTGTGTAGTGAGGTAAAGTGATTTGACCTGTGTATTTTCAACTGAATGCGATGTACTTATTGTACTTATCACACTAATTATAACACGTTTGTACCAAGTCTTTTCTTTTGTTGCAAGTTTATTTGGAAACATTTAAAATTTCAGTTTTTATTGTCACCGTGGGGTGCAAGCTGCCAAGTGACTTAACTGTTTTTTATGAATGTATTATTTATGTTTTTGTGTATTTGTGTACTATCTATGTTATGTTTTTGTTTTTGTTATGCATGCGTGTTTCTTGACCCCCTTGAAAATGAGACGCTGCATCTCAAGGGGTTATCCACTAATAAATTCAAATAGAAATAAATTGCAATATAATATCTATAACTATGTTTTCAATGGTGTATAAAAACCTTACATAATGAACCGTTATGTTTATATTACCTTATATTGCCTTGTGTCACTACGTTGAATACGTACAAAGAAGAAGAAGAACAAGTAACGTTAGTAGTAGTAGTAGTTGACTGGTTTATTAGAAGTAAGAATAGAATAGAAATTTGGACAAATAGAGGACCACACATATTATTTAATCCCAAAGACGACAGAGCGTGTCGGCCACCGTAGCTTCTCCTGCGCGCTTGCAAAGGGAGGGGCGAGCCGTGAACGTACATATAACCAACTGTATACACGTTGTTATACTCTGCATGCTTTCTAAATGCAAATGCAATTAAATTATTGTTCATACTGTACATACAACCTTACATTCTCTGTGTCCACTTCTCTGTACGTGTTTAATAATGTCGTACATTTACACATTTCTGTAGAGGATGCTAACTTGTTTTAGAGCACGGAAAGTGACTTCAGGAACATAATTTATTTTGTTAAAAAGACCATTAAAGAATTTCTTTAAAGATTTAACAGCAACAACAGACTAACAGTAGGTACAGTACTTTGTAAATGAGGTATTATACTGTGTATGAAAGCAGTACACATATACACAGTAATTTTTATTTATTTTTTTTTAGCTCTAGTATTTCTGTTTAGAAAATCTTCTAGATAGTTAAAAAAAATGTATGTAGGTCTGTTTGTAAATTTGTGGCAAGTTTATACAGCTGTCTTTAACTTCCATGTTAGGTGGTTTCCTTTTGCAAGCGCTCAGGGGTTTTTTATGCCTCCTGTGCACTTCCTTATGTTACTGTGCATGTCTTCTTTTTTGTTTTATTTTATTATACGCGCAAATAAAGAACTAAAATAACTACAATAAATGCTGAATGAGAGATTGGTTGAGTTACAGAAGATAGTACATGTTTAATGCTAACACTCGACCTCACGCCCAACCAAACACATACTGTATGTAGAGAACAGAACTTTGTGTCACCTCTCACAGACAGCCAGCTCTGCGGTGACTCTCCTTTTGTGGGGTGTTTACACTTGTAGAAGCCTTCGTCAGACTCAGACACCGCGGGGAGGATCATCGTCCCTGCAGGCTCAGTTCCAATGAAAACACCATTTCTGTAGAACGTAGTAGGGAAATCTGACGTAGATTCAATTTGCTCTTTTTCCTTGTAGGAACAGTTAAGTGTCACTTTATCTCCCTTCGTCACAGGAAGTGCAGGGCTCTCCAGGATCACAACACCAGCTGAAATATAGAAGAATATCTGACTATAGTTTCCAAAGTCTGTTTAATTGCAAAAAATAAAAAAATAAGCAGAAAATAAACACAAACATGCTCCACACACATTTAGTATTACCTGTCACTGTGATGTTGACGGTGTTGCTGTACTCCCCCTGCTCAGACTCACACCAGTACACTCCGGTGTCTGATGGGTAGGCATCCTCAAGGAGGCAAGAGGACTCACCTGGGATCCCCCAGCCAAACGCGCACACTTCATAAGTGCTAAAGGAAGTGTTTCTTTTTACTTTCCAACCGCTGGAGTTTACTGCTGGCGCACAGCTTAGAGAGATGCGGTCATAATGAAAGAACTGAGATCTGTTGGGAGTGATGCTCAGTGTGGCTGCTGAGGAGGTCAAACCTGAAATAATATTTTTTTCATATTAATATTCAACTAAATGGCTACACGTCCTCATGCCCACAAGCCAGAACACGTTCACTTCCAAAACAATATTCTGTATATGACCATTGGAGGGTTTGTACCAGACCTTCCTCGTCACAGTTTCTTAAGTTAAGTACATGATCACAGTTTGTGTAGTAAAGATCCCCAATTTATC